TTAGTGGAGGGGAGAAGCGTTTCATGACTGGAAACAATGTCTCTACCACCGTGGTTGAGAATTTAACTGAGCATCTTGCATGTGCATCAATCAAGGATGGTGGTGAAAACAATGGTGTTGCTTACTTATCCTCTAGTGATGATGACTTGTGCACAATTGAAGGAAACATGTGTGCTTCTGCAACTGGTGTTGTAAGGGTGCAGTCAAGAAGGAAAGCAGAGATGTTTCTTGTGCGGACAGATGGATTCTCCTGCACCAGAGAGCAGGTTACAGAATCTTCCCTGGCCTTCACTCATCCTAGCACCCAGCAACAGATGCTTATGTGGAAATCCATGCCAAAGACAGTACTACTGTTGAAGAAGCTGGGGCAAGAACTCTTGGAAGAAGCAAAAGAGGTACTGTTAAAAAATATCCTTAATTTATGCCAAATCCCCTGAAAATTGCCTTCTTGTTACTCTAGTGATTTGTGTGTGTGCGCGCGCATGCTGAAAATTGCCTTCTTGTCACTCTAGTGATTTATGAAACCATGGTGGTGTGTAGATATTGTTCCAAGTTTTATTTTGTGTTTAATCTCTCTCTGTGTATGCGCGCGAAAAAATATCCTTAATTTATGCCAAATTCCCTGAAAATTGCCTTCTTGTTACTCTAGTGATTTATGAAACCATGATTGTATAGATATTGTTCCAAGTTTTATTTTGTGTTGAATCTGATGGTTTAACCTTTGACTCTGGAATAGCTGGTAGAAAGTCATTGTTTAATCTTGCATGCATATAAAATTTCTTGGGATCAAAGGATTTGAATAGTAATAAAAATAAATCAAGATTTTACTTGAATTTTCATCCAGTAAATTTCACATTGGTTTTTCTTAATTCTCATTCTAAATTTGGAAAATTTCCACTGTGGAATGGAGAGAATCAACATAAGCAGTTGCAGTCTCATCCATCCAAATTCAAGTGTCTCCTGGTCAGTAGTGGTGACTGGTGAGCATTCGTGTAATTCGAGTAAAGAATTTCCATTTTGAGTAATCACCAGAATTTTTTTTCCTTTTACCTGAATGTTTTTACCCCATCAAACAATTCACGTAATTCAGGTCTCCCAAATTATCCAAATGTTTTATTCACCACCCAATTAATTTTTTTACCCAAGATTCCTCAAAATTTTTCAATTAACTACATGAAATTAGGTCCAATAAAAGTTTTGATTACGAAAATAATGTTCAAGGAAAATTACAGCCCATTAATTTTAAAATTTTAAAAATAAATAACCATATAAATAAACAAAACATATAATTCGGGTGACCTGAATTTTTCTGTTTTATCTGAATAACCCCAAATAAATTTCAGGTCTGAATCACCGATTCTCCAAAATTTTTAAAAATTTATTATCAGAATTGGTTTGGATAATTTTTTTTTTTGTGAGTGCTTGCACCTGCTCCTGGGTATTCTAGAGTCAAATTTCTTTGAAATAAAGCCTTAGAGATTACATTCGCCAAAATTATGAGAACATAAGAACACAAATGAAGCCCTGTTGCTTGGATTAATCTGTTCTCTCCATCACCTTTGATTGCTTTGTGTTACGTCTTCTTTAAGACAAGCATTGTCCATTGAGTTCATAACTCAATGCTTGGGAAATGTTGAAGGAAATCAGTATCCATCCTGTCCTATCGCTGCCTGGTTGAACATGAATGCAGAGGGACACCCATAGGGGAAACAGTTTACGGGTCCTACAGGGCCAAATGGGTGCTGAGAAATGAGAATGGAAAATTGATGCAGGGATTAACTCTAGAAAATATTTTCATAACTTTTGTGGTTACAAGTACCACTGAAATCATTTTATTCATGTGTAGTAATTCTAACTGGCTTTCCTGTCCAATGTGCAGGTTGCCTCCTTCTTGTACCATCAAGAGAAAATGAATGTTCTTGTTGAACCTGACGTTCATGACATATTTGCTAGAATTCCAGGGTTTGGATTTGTTCAGACCTTTTATAGTCAAGATACTAGGTACTGAAAGTTGGGAATTGAGATCAAAACAAACAATGACATTGATGTATATTTAAATGTTCTAAATGCCTCTTTGGTTGTATATGCATTTCTTGATGCAGTGATCTTCATGAGATGGTTGATTTCGTGGCTTGCTTGGGAGGAGATGGGGTTATATTACACGCATCAAATTTATTTCGAGGGGCGTTTCCACCTGTTGTGTCCTTTAATCTTGGATCTCTTGGATTTCTGACTTCCCATTATGTAAGTTTGATGTGACTCGTGTATTGTTAATGGTGTTTTGATGCTCTCATAAGCAACCATTTACTTGACTGCTGTCTTTTTGTTCTTTCTTTTTAATATAGTTTGAAGACTACAGGCAGGACTTGAGACAAGTTATTCATGGGAATAAGACCTTGGACGGTGTTTATATAACTCTTAGAATGCGCCTCCGGTGTGAAATCTTTCGCAATGGTAAAGCAGTGCCCGGGAAAGTTTTTGATGTCTTAAATGAGGTGGTTGTTGATCGGGGTTCTAACCCATATCTTTCTAAGATTGAATGCTATGAGCATGACCGACTTATAACCAAGGTGAATTGGGCAATATCATGCCTTAATGACACAAACTCACTTTCTTGTGTTCTGCCCTCAATTATTGCTCAAGGGGCAAAACCTACCTATCTTGGCCCCTAGAACATATTAAGTTGTATTGTTTTTCTCAACAGCAATGAACATTTCACATTCTGAACGTTTAAACATATACATGGCATACAAAAAAAATTTAATATCTTGAATGATATATCTGCACTTATTTTAATGAATACCTTTTCTTCTAGGTGCAAGGTGATGGAGTCATAGTGGCCACACCTACAGGAAGTACTGCTTATTCCACATCTGCTGGAGGTTCCATGGTAAATTGTCCTTTTGAGTGTCGCTTGCATTTCGTATTGTTTAGCATCCAGATAGTTATCTACTCTTAGATGAGAATTCTTACATTATTTTAGGTTTTCAAGCCTCGATGTGATTTTTGGGGGTTGTATGAATGTGTCAGGGTATTCTTAAGAATTGCTAGAGAATATATTTGAGAAATCTGACTGAAGCATGCTGTATGATAGTTGGATTTTGCGATATTTATCCATCTTCTTCTTCCACCCATTTTTTTAATCCATAACACGATTTTATGGAAAATCTCAATCCTCCATCAATCAATCCATTTTTCCCTTGCAAAAAAAATTAGCAAACAAGATTGAGGACTTATTCCTCTCCCTTCCCTCAGAACCTTTGATACAAACGTGGTCTAAATATATTCCCTGTGGTTATTGCTATTTCTGGTCACTTTCAATTGGCATCATCATCTGTGTAATGATGTGTATACTGGATCAGGTGCATCCAAATGTTCCTTGCATGCTGTTTACCCCTATCTGCCCGCATTCTCTCTCATTTAGGCCAGTCATACTTCCAGATTCTGCGAGACTTGAATTAAAGGTAAATTAAAGGCTCATATTTTGCAATTATATGTCTTTCTGTTATATTCTTCAGCTAGAGGATTCATAATTGCTGACCAAACAGATTCCAGAGGATGCTCGAAGTAATGCATGGGTTTCTTTTGATGGGAAGAGGAGGCAGCAGCTCTCAAGAGGGGATTCAGTCCGGATATCTATGAGCCAGCACCCGCTTCCAACAGTCAACAAATCTGATCAAACAGGCGATTGGTTTCACAGCTTGGTCCGCTGCCTAAACTGGAACGAGAGGCTAGATCAGAAGGCCCTTTGAAGCTCAAAATGAAGAGTGAAGAGAAACCTGCTTCATTTTCTACGCAGGATCGAGGCTTGTGTAAATTTCTGTACAGACTGTAAATTAGAATTAACAAAGAAAATCTAACATAAAGTGGGCAATTACTATTCATGAGTCATAATCATCATTGACTCCCACATGAGGATAGGGTTTGCCATGTTTTTCCTTCTATTTTTTAACATGTTATTGACAACTGTAAGCATATACCATCAACGATTATTGGTAGTAGAAATATAATCATTCAATCTTTGCTGGACTTACATTCTCTATGCTTGGTTGCTCATACTCTGTTAATAAATTTTATTACATATGATATTTTTGTTTATTACTGCGTTGGAATGTCTAGGAGAGAGAAGCACAATGTATTAACAAATTAAAAGCACACGCCGCTAAGGCGGAGTGGATATTATACAGGCTTAGTATCGAAAGCTTGTGTAATAACTAGCTACTCCTTGAATCTGGATGTCGCATCCTCTCCATTTTGTGTGATGAAAGAAAACTAGAAATCTTTAAAGCATCATCAATGATCTCGATCATCGCATCAAACTCAGGTTTAGTTACGTCTATGCCCCCTTATGATTAAGAAATTGGCCGTTTTAACCCATTTACTTAAATTTTGGGCATGTCAACCTTCACATTTTTCAATTTGTGGTCACGTGCGGTCCCTTCATAGAACTCAATGCTCATCAAATCCAGCCATGTGTGCACGTACAAAAGGATAACATGATCAAAATCTCAAAACTTGAGGGACCACTGATGTAATTTACCCACCAAACAAAGCATACAACATTGCCCTTCTTCCGTTGAGATGCATGTCATGCTAGTCTGTCAGAAGAAGCGTCACAGGAGAATTTACAGATGAGATAATTATAAGCAGCCTGCGTTCAAGGAGACAAGGGCAAGGAAAAGCCCATCTTGTAGCAAGTATTCCATTTTATTTATGAAGTGTCTAAAAACCCACTTACGTTCTTGTTTACAACACAGGACACCTTTTTTTAATCAATAACCATTTAAACAAGCCAACACTTTGTTTCTGCAGTCTCAAATCATCCATGTATGTTTTGTTTTATATACAGAGAGAGAGCTGCTGGACTCTCCACCACCCCACTTCCCTCAACCATCTTGCTTAGTTCCCTATCAACCATTTTGTCATGAAATAACGTGAAAGTATTTCGCAGATACACGTCTGGTGAAAAGGTTATTTCTTAGGAAACTAGCTCTCATATATTACCGAGAAGTACAGTTTATATGATACTATTTGTCGTACAAAAAAAGCAAACATCTGTAAGTGCAGTGTGTAAAAGCCTCATCATTACATTACAAGGAAAAGACAGCAACAATCTAAAGCAAACACATGGATAGACCCGGCTTTCTTTTCTCTTCATATGTATAGTTAAGAGAAAGAAGCACTCGGCCGTGAGGGAAACAGGTACTCGGCCGTGAGGGAAACTGGTCACTAGAACATAAACGAGAAAGGGAAAATTAAGATAAAGAAAAGGTTTCATCTTCTTAATATGAAGCTGCACCTTTTTACAAGGCCCTTACAGCTTGGAACCTTGGCTCTTTAGGAAGGAACTTCTGCTTAGCATAAATAGACATGTAATCACCAAACAAGAACTTGGGGTAAGTTTGATTGATCTCTTCGTCATCTTTTTCCACCAATCCCGGTGCAGGGGCAATGGTGGCCTTTAGTGATGGATTATAGAACGAAGCAATCGACCTTCTGTTCCCGTCTGGGGTGGCCAAAACACGGTGCCAGGTACTCTTGTATCGACCATTGCTAAGGACCTCAATCTGATCACCAGTATTGATGACAATAGTGTTCTTCATTGGCTGGACATCAATCCATTGCCCATCTTTGAGGATTTGAAGGCCGCCTACCACATCATCTTGGAAGAGTAAGATGACACCCCCAGCATCGGTGTGGGCTCGGAGACCATCGATTTGCTCAGGATGAGGACATGGTGGGTAGTGGCTAACCTTGGTACCAAAGAAGGCACTGTTTCCTTCTCCATCATTGAATGCTTTCTTGATGTATCCTTTTGGCAAGCTCAAGTTCTCATCCATCACTTCCATGACCTTCTCAGCCAATTTCTTCAGCTCAGCACGATATTCAGCCATGGTTTCCCTGTCATTAAAGCCAGAAAGTTAGATATACACTGCATCTTTTTCCTTGAACGGTGAGCCCATGCCCATTTCTTTATTAAGTTATAATACTCAGAAATTAGAAGTGCTCGTACTTACTTGAATCCAGAGGTTTTTGATGGCCACTCGTTATCGTCAAGGAGAGTGATGACATCTTCCCAGTCCACATTCTCCAATTTCTTACCGCTATTCTTATCAGCTAAAGCATTCAAAGTATTTGCTATCGTTGAGTTGAAAATTTCCTCTCTTTCCATTTTAAAATATTCAGAGCAAACCTTCTTCACTTTCTCTAGGAGCTCCTCTGGAATTCCATGGTTCACCAGCTGTAACAAGTCATGTACAACGCACGTTGATTTACAGAAATTCTTGTATGCACAGTAAAATGCTAACTAAAAAGCTCATTATAGATCGGATCCATATTTGCAGCTAGATGCTTTCATTTAAATATACGCTAACACGCGTTATGTATACGTATAGCGTGCCACTATAAGCTCTTGGCACGTTATGCCTCACCAAGAAATTCTTTTCAAGGGTTTGAAATGTTGAAGGGAATTCAATATAATCCACCATTCTTTTATAAGACATGATTTTGTGTGCTATGATCATCCAGCATAGAAATATTGCTAGAAACTAAAACGAGTACCTGGAAGAATCCCCACTCCTCGCATCCATTGGCAATCTGAGCCATTGTCTTGGCTCTCTCTTCGCCGGTGCCATTTACCTTAGAGAAATCAATCACTGGAATTGCCATGGAAGCAATGGAGAACACAAGGTCAGAGAAAGAGAGGGAGACAGGGGGAGAGAGAAGAGTTTTTAGAGTGTAATGTTTTGCTTAGTTAGCTAATTAGTCTTGCTTTTGCTTTGGTTGCAAAAGAGAAGGGTGCAGGGGGGGTTATTTATTGTAACATTTCCCGCCATCTAGATTGTCAACTCTCTTAATCACTTTAATTAGTCCTTTTCTGGTTTCTTTTTACTTTTTTTATTAATTAAGCGGCCGTTGGGGTGAGGTGTTGGACGGTGACAATTTTGCTTAACAAAAGGTCAACGCTTTATTAGCTACGTAAGGCTACTGGTAATCCAAAACAGAAGCATTCTCTTGATCCGTCTTAGTTTCTTTCAGGTGATGTGCATACCCTCTTTTGCTATATTCAACTGTTACTGCCTTCAATACCAAATGTCTTTAATTTAGTTGCGAAGGGTGGCAGAAGCCAAAGACAAAAACTGTACCAGACACTTACTCCCCCCATAGACGTCACAGTACCATGTAGACAAAAACTGTACCAGACACTTACTCCCCCCATAGACGTCACAGTACCATGTAGACATCCATGAAGATTGGGACCCTAGCCAATTTCTAACAGGAAAGCATGACTACTACTGTTTCACGGTCCAAATATCAAATGACCTCCCTGTCATTTACTATGTTTTAGTCAACACAAAGAATAGAGTTCAGATTATGATGATCATAATCTGTCTAAAATACGATTTGTTTTGGCTTGAAAATATAATTAATGAATGTTAAAACTAAATGGAAACAGGTCAAGGAAAGGGTAGTCTAGCCAGTATACAAACAAAAATATGACCATTAAGATTTTGCACGCCAAATGGAAGTCAAGAAATCAATGAGATGCCTCTCATTCTTTGCTTTGCCAGTGAATTTGAGTTAAGAGTTCATGGCAAATGGAACGATACCCGACATTCATGTGCAATATTCCCCTTTCTTAGCTTTTATATATATATATATATATATATATAGATTACCTAGCTACTTTAGTTTTGGTGTATTAATTTATATCGTGCTGTCACGTTCATTTTACTTATAATGGAAATCTCGGCCGACTGCGACTGTTCATTCATCATTTTGACTCCTCCCCGTTCTCTTACAGCCACCAAACTTTGACTTTTACACATGGACCTGCTCTGTTACAACAAGTGATCGTACAATTAAATTAACTGTACTGATCTGTAGGCACAGTTTGAGGACCAAGGAAGGCAATGGTGAAAACTTCAAAAAAAAAAAAATTATTCAAGAAATAAACATTACCCATCAAACATTAAACTGCTACATCGATTGTCAACTTCATAAATAGTTGTCCATATATATATATATATATATATATATATATATGATATTTTGATGATACATAATATTTGTTGGTTATGCATGTTAGCCAGAAAATAGTCTGTTCTCTTATATTTTCGTCCTCACCTTGTTTCATCGCAAAGGTTCCACCCATAATAATCCATCAAAATAGAAATTTGTAAGCTATCCAAATATATATTGTAGAGTTTGGATTCAGCATCTTCTCGTGTGTCTCCCAGACCAATTTTAATTTAAACCCTTTAATTTGCTCATTTTCGTGTGTTTAATTAATTAGTGGTAATTGTTTTTAGTAGGGAGTGAATTGCGTCTCAATCGGCTATCTATATACCTCTTGGTGTAATAGTTGTCCGAATGCTAGGATACATATAGGGATCAGAGAGGCAATATACATATGACCGCCCGATGACGAGCTGGTGCTGGAAAACCAAATCAACATCACTGCTGTATTTGTAGAGATAATGTTAGGAAGCTATGATCTATTTTCAGTGCTGTATTTGTAGAACTTAACGTGGGAAAGCTATCTGAATATTCATTGCTGTTCATCTGGAACTAATGTTGGCATGCTACCTTATTCATTGCTGTACTTAGCAGTTGTCGTAAGTCATAAAAATTGTCAAGATTTGTTTTGTATCCCATTGTCGGGTTCTGCATAATTGGCATGTTTCCAGATCCAAGCCATCATAGCAATGTTTCATGAGTTCTGATGCTTCTTGTGGCCACGTATTATATTCTAATTATTGATTGATAGAATCACCATGCCTCATTTGTGTCTTTCATATCTGTGGTGGATCGAGAAGACATATCACATATATCTGATAAATCTGTGCCACCCTCTCAACAAAACCCTACCAGTAGAAAACAGAAAACAGCTGGTGTGTTGGGATCTTAGTGTCATTAGTAGCTAAACGTAGGGCCAGGTTTCATTTTGCATGCATTTCCCAGCGTTTAGCAGTATTGGTTTTGGGCCAGGTTGCGTGCATGGTTACAAAATGGGGTGCGATTGTGCATCGCATGCCAGCACTCTCTCAACATCCCGAGTTCAGTTTGGACGGCCATGACCTGCAACTTGGTGGGAATATAGAAACAACAATATATTAAATGGTTATATTTTGTAATTTCTGACAATAATGTGTTAAAATTTGTTTTTGTTAAATCCATATGTAAATATTAAATAAACTGTTTGTGAGTATATGGTAAATACATTATAAATTTTATAATTAAGTGGAATTTTGAGTGTGTTAATGAAATTTTACCCCTTCTTTAACGACTTATTTTTTAAAAAATGGATAAAAATTTTACTTAATTAATTGTTAACATCACTACATCTATATAAGAAAATAAATTTTGATAAATTCGATTGTAAAAGGTTACAAAGCACATCTACTTCATAGATTAATTATCTCTAATGTACACACACACACACACGAGATAGGGTTAAGTAATGAAAAAAGAAAAAGGTAATTCCAATTAAATTCCGTAGGGGAGAGAGCATTAAAGCAAATAAAGGGGGTGCCGTCTTGTTTACATAAAATATTTCTGTGGTGTCTTCATCATTGTTCGCATGCATGGAGGATCAATCGAGAGTTGAATTTGCTGAACAGAACATGGGCTCTGTGTTCCAACGTCAACTCGACTTGCTGATCTATATATTAATTAATACTTTATATATATTCTGTACATAGTAAAAGACTGTTCCCCCCACTGACCAGGACTGCGTACAAAGCTGGCAATTTGCAAGCCTTACATCTAAATTTGTGAGAACTCGAGCCAATGAGTAATCGATTGCATATAGTTAGGCATACTTAACGCAGCCCTTTTCATAAAGTTCAGGCTCAAAATTAATATTATTATGCTGAAAAGACGTAAATGTAAACAAGGAATGGATAAGAGTTTTAGCACAAAGCAATATCAAATTAACGTAAGTCTCAATTAATTGAAGAAATTTTATCTGAAAAGGTGTGAAAGCGAATGCAATAGAATACCATTTACCTTGAGAATGGTAAAAATTCAAATATCAGTTTAAAAAATGGGTTGAATTAATGGTTAATAATTATTATATCTCTTCGGATAAAATATTATGATTACAATTATCTGATATTACCCTGATTATTATTTCTATCCAAGTTTGCATAAATGGCCGCTCAAATGCATTCCCCCGACACAATGCTCATGGAGAACATAATTAATGCCTTGAAAAAGGTGAAGTGCTTGTACGTACGGTGGTTAATGGCGATTCCCTTCCTTCCCTTTGAAGAACTCTTCCCCTCTTATTCATCCTCACATGGTGCTGAGTGATGGTGTCTCTAACAAGGCATCCATTAGGGTGACAAAGAAATGGTCTAGGGTGTCTGTACATAGATTTGGTTTGCGGTCTATGTCTTTCATCGTTTTTCTTTCTAAAAAAAAATTCAGTCTCATCATGAAAACTTATAAATTATCTTTTGGAATTAAGCTATGGTAAACATATAATAAGCTGGTATGCGAATTATGATAACATGCTATAAAGCCTGCAAATTCCTCTCCGTGGTCGGCATCGATCGGTCCACATAACTTTCAACCACTTTCATTGGGAAATCAAAGAACGTGTGAATGACCTTTGAATTTGATAAATTAATTCCTTCATAATATACAGTTAATTATGTGTATAAATCTTGTCAATTAAAATTATATTAGCATTCAATAAGATGATAATAAACAATTAATATATATATATATATGCCCCAGTAACATTTCTTGATTAAAATGGTTAAAATCAAGGCAACGACGGACTCTAGCAGTTGATTACTTGAAACTTTGTTAGGGATTTATGAAACGCAACCTTCTGTTAGTTAGAAAATAGTACACATGCACGCAACTGTATTAGGATTTCGCGCAACAGTTTGGTGATTGTTAAATTGAATGCTAGGTACGTAGTCTGATCACTCGATGCAGGGGCGGAACCAGAAAATAGAATTAAAAGGGGCGTTAACGACCATGTAAGCCTCCAGTGGCCATCATATGAGCAACCAAGGACTCGAATCTGAGACCACAAAGGGAGCAAACCCTTTAGTTCCAAGTCTTTACCCCCTTAGTCCCAAGTCTTTACCACTTGGCCACCACCTAGATGGTTTTTTAGATTAAATATATTAATATTATTAAGGGAGGGGTTGGAAAAAAAAATTCCTGCAGGGGCCGGGGCCAGCCCCTCCCTGGCTCCGCCCCTGACTCGATGGGATACTGGGAGAGGCAAATTATTGCTGGTAGATTTTTTTTAAAAATTCATAAAACAAAATGAATGTTTTGATGGGATATGTTTTTTAAAAAAATATAAAGATAATAATTTTTTTATACATTAAAAAATAATATATTTGATGGAGATGATCTTTTTAGTTTAACTCATCAAATCTGTAACTTAGATTATATAAATTCTACTAAGTTTAATATTATTTTTTTAATAATAAAAACAAACACTTCAAGTAAAAACCAACATTAAAATGTTTGTATGAAACTTCAGTAACTTTGTAAAAAAATTGAAATAAATTATAAAAATTAATTGAAAATAAATTAAATATTAAAAGATAAAATTAAATAAAAAATAAAAAACTAATATTAAATAATAGAATTAAAAAGAACAAAAATGAGGGGGGAGAGGGGGGCTCCTTCATTGTTCATATTAGATAGGTAACATATGTTATGCCATGAATCGAGTCAAATTTTTCATGACATTAGAAAATGATATTAAGGCGATGATAACTTTTTTATAAGAGTAAGAAAAATTTAAAACCTGAATTTTTGATTCAAATGGGTTCAATAATCTCAATTAATTTAATAATATGATTAAAAAAATAAAAAACAATTTAAAACTTTAAAAAAATCAATAATCAATCATAAAAAAATGAGTGTTTACCAATATTATGAAAGATAGTCTCCAAATATTTTAAAAATATCTCAAGGATTTTATTTGATAACAAAAAAAAAATCAAATAAGAATGTGTGATAACCTTATAAATATCAAAATAATATTGTTCCAATCTATAATATTTTTTGATGTCTTTTAGGTTTTTATTAATTAATAGTAAAGGAGGTGAGTAACACCACTAACTTATTTAAATTATAATTAGTTCACTATTCATGCTATTATCAATGTTGATACATTTATAAGAAAGTAATTTTCAATCAAAGAAATAATTATTATGTGAAAAATATTTTTTGAAGTAACATAGTTTTTTCAAAATGAGTTATTTTTCTATTACTTGGAATGTAGAAAAATATATTATTTTTTATTTATGGTTTTCAATGATGATAATAATATCGGAAAGATTACAATGTTTGTTGGAAAAGTAATAATGATAGTAATGATAAAGATAATTATGATGATAATATTGATAATTTGTATGGTTATACTAATAATAATAGTAATAGTAGTAATAATAATAGTAATTGATTATTAAAAATGATTATTATAATATAAGGGTGATAGTTATAAAATGAAAGTTACTTAACAAGATGGTAGTGGTGATTGTTATGGTTGTAGCGATGAAAAAAAAATTTATTGATTAAATTTTTAGTGCTTATTTTGTAGTGAAAAATGGACAAAATATTTTTTGTTTAATATTATTTTTTAAAAATTAATTTTTATAATAATAAAAATAAACACTCATAAAATCGAGCACAAAACAATATTAAAACGACTATATGAAACTTTGATAACCTCTTAAAAGAGAAATTAAAATAAATTATAAAGATCAATTAAAAATAAATCAAATATTGAAGGATAAAATTGAAAAAATAAAATACAAAACTAATATTGAAGGATGAAATAAAAAAATAAAAAAAAAAGGCTCCTTCATTGTTCATATTAGATAAGTGGCTCATGTTATACCATGAATCGAGTCAAATTAATTTTTCTTGAAATTAAAAAATGATGTGCAGGTGATCCTAATTTTTTTAAAAGAGTAAGAAAAATTTGGAACCTAGAAAAATTTGGAACTCGGGTTATTGATTCAAATGGCTTCAATAATCTCAATTAATTTAATAATATGATTAAAAAACAAAAGACAATGAAAAACCTTTAAAAAAGCCAATAATTAATTGAAAAAAAATAAATGTTTGTTAATATTATAAAAATTAACCTCTAAATATTTTGAAAATATATTAGGGATCTTATTTGATAACAAAATAAAAATTCAAACAAGAATGTGTGATAATCTTATAAACATCAAAACATTGTTCTAATCCACAATATTTTTTGTTTTATGCCACAATATTTTTCTAATATTTTTTAGATTTTTATTAATAAATAATAAAGAAGGTGAGTTACACCACTAACTTATTTATATTAGAATTAGTATGTTATTCATGCTATCATATCAAAGTATCAATGTTGATACATTTATAAGAAAGTAATTTGTGGTAAAAGAAATAATTATTATGTGAAAAATATTTTTTAAAGTAATATAGTTTTTTTTAAAGTGAGTTATTTTTAAAATAAATTATTTTTCATTTATGATTTTGAATGATGATAATAATATAGAAAGATTACAATGTTTATAGTAAAAATAGTAATAATAGTAACAATAAAGATAATTATGATGATAATATTAATGATCGGTATGATTGTACTATTAATAATAATGATGGTGATTGATTATTAAAAATAATTATTGTAATATAATGATGATAATTATAAAATAAAAATTTCTTAACAAGATCATGATGGTGATTCCTATAATGATAGTGATGAAAATATTTTTTTATTGATTAAATTTTTAGTATTTATTTTGTGGTAAAAAATATATTCTTCTACAACATATTTTTCATAAAATATACAAACTCTTCATCTTCATTTTTGAAAACCGGGAGAAAAATAGTTCTGTTATTACAAAAGATAAGAATAAGAAGAACTTGCAAGATTAGGGCTAAAACCCTCCCTTCAACGAATCAAGAAAGAAAAATTTTCCCCTCTGTTTACGGACTGCTAGTCAAACCAAGCCTAATTTCTACAAACAGTCGCGACTTTCTGGCTCTACATATCTTCGAGAATGCAAGATTTATTGATTTACCTTTAGAAGGTATAGATCCAAATCCCTTATTCTAAAAAAAGTAAAATGATGTTGATTGAAAACCGATCATAAAATACCGAATCTCTTTAAGAAAAAATCATTTACCGATTGTTTGTTGTTCTCCTGCACTTTTCAACCGAACCTAACAAAACCAAATGTTAGATGAGCCAGATTGATTTAGTTCAGTGGTCTATTCAAGTCGACAAGCATTCCTATCTCGGAATTATATGCAGTATGCACATGCACATACGTATACATATACATATACAAGCTAGATCGTGAAAAAGAAGCTCCCGAGATAAGACAAAACCATACCGAGTGATCATCTCTCAGCACATCCTTTCTTGATTCTTATCTTCGTTCGGCAAGCTAAGCATTTTTCCTGGATGTATATATTATAGTAGTTTAGAAATCAAGTGTATATATAATATACATTGTTTTCCACTCACACTTTCTTTTTTTTTTGTCAACAGCTTGCATCACTTAATATTTTATTATCCCTTTATATCACTGAATGCTGTATTACACTTTATTTTAGATTTGAAAACTCCGCTCAAGTTCAGCATGAAATGTCAGGTTTGATCATTAATTTGAATCCATCTTCCTTTTATATATTTTCTATTATTTCATGTCACGTCGATAATCTTATCAGCATGATTGCGCCTTAACCCTTTTCAGAGAGGCAGAATTGGTGATTATTTCATTCGTTTCCAGGTTTCGTATACAAGAAGAGTTTAAAGTCTTGGAGTATTTGGTTGGATGTTCAGGCATTTTCCTTTGTTTCCTTTCTGGGGTTTCAGATAATGGCATATTTGAATTTGCACGATGGTCTTGGGTTTTACTCTTATAATCTGGCCCAAGACTATATTTCTCCCAGTGCAGATTAATAAAACCGAGCACCTGCCAGGGCCGGCCTGCAGGACATCCATTTTTAGCCGAGCAAAATCTATAGATGCTTGTTCACTGGTGGATCCAAACCGCGTCCAACCACTATCTGCCCGTCCTGTTTCTTGAAATTTGTTGCCAGGATTTAGCAAAACTATGATTAAAAGTAGGCTCACCAGAAGCAAGACACACTCCTTACACGATGCAAGATGCTTCTGGCGTCTCCTTTGACAAATGGGCTTAATTGCAATTTGGGCTGGATTTGTTTTGGGGTGTTCTTCGAACTTTTGGGATGCTCGGGCTTTGGCCTTCGGCTGTTTCTCGTGTCTGCATAATTTGAGTTGGGGGGGATACACGGATCAGCTCTCAGATAATATAAATTTTAAAAGTTGGTTTATATTGGATTGATTAACATCTTTAACTAGCCAGGTACTTTCCAATAACATCATAGTAATAATAATAATAACGGGTAAAAAAAGGCTGGAAGCTTGCTCGGCTTTAATTTTGTAAATATAAATATAAATTATCAATACATTTAAAACTGCGACATCGGTTTAACTATTTATAATAAACTAAGTTAATTATTATGTTAATCGTATGGCAACAAATTTTATGTTATTACTCAATAGTTAATGTGTGGTGTAACTTTAATGTTATAGGTTTGAATCCTAACCAAAGTAGATAAATTTTTTAGATAAAAAACAAGATATAGAGTCGGTTTAACTGTTTATATAAATAATGAATCGGGTTAATATATTATTTTAGTTGTTTAGTAATAAATTCTGTGTTTTAACTCAGGTGTTAAAATGTGTTGAATTTTATAATAATATTGAAAATTTTCTGATATTTTAATATTATTTTTCTCATTCAATTTCTTTTTTTAATCAAAGCAACAACAAGAGGTGTGAAGAAACTAGTAGTCTCTATACCAACATGAAATAAATAACTATATATCTCATTTATAAATTTCTTCCGTTTGCAAGGCAGCCAAGTGAGTTATAAGTTCATATGCAACTATATATGGTATAATTTCTAAATTTTTCAATTGCAAATTGAATATCGGACAGTTAAACCCCCCTCAAATCTAATTAAAATGGGATTTTTTTTCTTTCCCATTGTTCTAAATTCTCTCTATGTATTATTATACATATCAACAATCAACATATTTAACAGAAAATAAAATTTTGGTAAAGTTCATCCCTCTTCTTCAATTAATATATTGATACAATAAATCTTGATTAATAACAATCACCCGTCAATTAACATAATTAAAAATTAAGGATTGACCAACACATGGAAAAAACTGTTGAAAAAATCATCTAGCCCACATGTTGCTATTTCATTGATCAATCCTTACATCTTAAGTTAAGAATGCTAATTAACAGAAGGTTATTTTTAAATAAAAAATTGTTATATAATAACACATTATATTTAAGAGACTAAATGAAACATTTTCTAATAATACAGGAACGACAATAATGCATTAAAAAATGCGGCCATGTTCAAACCCGGGCTGTCTTCTGCTACAGGAATTTGGACTGTCCAAGTCCAAAGCTGAGTTTGTCAATGAATGTTGTTTTCAGTGAGGACTTGTAGCAGTAAAGACAAGATACGAGAACCGAAAAGAAGGAAAGAGAATTAAATAAGTCGTCCTATGCTTCTGCTTTCACCAATGCATATAATAGGATAGGTTCCCGTGTGGAGTAATAGTGGAGCTTGCTTGCATACGCTACTTTACCAGCACTACGAGGTTATGATTTCATATATCTTGCACTGGCTGCCGACTAATTTGATATTATTAATTAATCGTGGTTCGTATGATGACTTCTGGTTATGACTATTTCAAAACAACCAAAGAACATGGAGGCATGTATTCAAACCACTGCTGCATATATCCTAATCCTTCATATAGCAAATCACAGTTTATGTTAATTAACAGTAGAATTTCTGGTCTAGCTCTTATCCTTGGTGAACAATCTGGTTATCTTTTGCTAGCTAGTTTTGGTTACGGGTTCAGGAGTAGAGTATGTAAGCATGGATCAAACAGCTTTCGGAATTGATTCTGCAGAGAAGCGTCTCAATGAGCTCGGATACAAGCAAGAACTCAGAAGAGAAATGGTTGCGCATATTAATAATCTTCCCCTTTTTTTCTCTGTTTTTCTGACGACTTTGATGTATGGATTCATATGTTTTTCATGGTTCGTTTGTTGCAGACATTTTTCAAGACTCTTGCGATTACATTTTCGAGCATGGCAGTTTTTATCGGGACACCTCTCTATGGGCCAAGCCTACGTTATGCAGGACCTGCAAGCTTGATATGGGGATGGGTTGTTGTCACTTTCTTCACTTGGTTTGTTGGGATTGCCATGGCTGAGATTTGCTCTTCTTTCCCCGTATACATCTTGATTTATTCTATCAATATGTGTGTGTGTGTGTGTGTGTTCCTTTCTCACAGAGTGCCTTTGCCTCTATTTGCACCAAGGAATTAGACCTCCATATTGTCCATCATTGCCTCTACATAAAATTCGTCAATAATTTGTTCATTTTTTCTCTCACGGACTTTTCTTAAAACACTAAACAGACCACGGGTTCGCTTTACTTCTGGGCTGCTCATTTGGCTGGACCCGAGTGGGGGCCATTTGCATCCTGGTGCTGCGCTTGGCTCGTGACCATTGGAGCCGTTTCTGGAATTGGTGGTCAGGCATGTATATAAACATACACAGTGCTTATTTTTGGTTATGAAGTCAATATAGATTATAGTGTCTTGTCAATAAAGTTGGTATCGGCTAGTTGAATTATTCACTCTTTTGTAAGGATAATGATGTTGAAGAAGCATGATATGCAATGAACTTGCAAACGGATGCATTCTTAGAATTGTTCATGTTTTCGTTACAGAATATTTAATACCTAGCATCGCAGGCATATTCAGGAGCCCAATCACTACAGATGATTATATTTCTCGCCACAGGAAACAACAAGGGCGGAGGCTATTTCGCTTCAAGAGGTGTTTTCTTGTGCATGTATATGGGTTTCACTATCATATGGGCAGTACTCAACAGCTTTGCTTTACAAGTCATTGCATTCCTTGACATTATCTCCATGTGGTGGCAGGTTAATCTGTTGCCTCTCTAGTTATTCCCTCTTGTCCCTTCCAAAGGATTCCATACTTAAGCACTCTAGGGTCTTCAATTCATGCAATTTGTCCCCTCCTTCTAGGAAATTAAAGCAATCTTATTAAGTTCAGTAGGACTGCTTGCTCATGAAAACATGCAGGTGATTGGGGGTGTAGCAGTGATTGTAATTCTTCCTTTGGTGGCACAACAAACACAATCTGCTTCTTTTGTGTTTACTCATTTCGAAACATCACCCGAGGCAACTGGAATAAGCAGTAAACCTTATGCGGTCATTCTATCTGTGCTGCTAAGCAACTACTGCCTATATGGCTACGATACCGCGGCTCATTTAACCGAAGAAACAAAAAGTGCTGATAGAACTGGCCCTGCTGCGATTCTTTCCAGTATTGGCATTATCTCTGTTTTTGGATGGGCATATTACTTGGCTCTTACTTTCAGTATCCAGGTATGCTCTCTATTGGGTTATTTTCCTACTGGAAGTTCTATTGGTTTTATGTTCACATGAGGCTTTTGATTTTACTGTAGGATTTTAACTATTTGTACGATGTGAACAACGAGACTGCTGGTGCGCTAGTTCCAGCACAGATAATCTATGATGCATTTCAAGGAAGGTACCATAATTCAACTGGAGCAGTAGTTTTTCTATGTATCATCTGGGGATCCTTCTTCTTCTGTGGGCTTTCAGTAACTACTAGTGCTGCCAGAGTGGTAAGAGAGATTGAATATCGCTCTTCTTCTCTAAACTGGGATTTGAAAATGAACATTACATCTAGTCACATTTGCAGTTATTGACATTTCTATATTTCACTGTAACTTCTTCGGTTCCTAAATTTTTTTTGGTTTGACAAGTATTTCTTCACAATTCCTTTTAGGTCTATGCTCTATCAAGAGACAAGGGGATCCCATTTTCACCTATCTGGAGAAGAATTCACCCGAAGTACAAGGTTCCAACAAATGCTGTGTGGCTGTGTGCTACCATTAGCATTATTATTGGACTACCCATCCTGAAGCTTGATGTAGTTTTCACAGCCATTATATCGATAAGCACAATTGGCTGGGTTGGAGGCTATGCTGTACCAATATTTGCAAGGCTTGTCATGGCTGAGAAAAACTTCAAACCAGGACCTTTTTATTTGGGTAGAGCAAGAAGGCCGATTTACTTGGTGGCGTTCTTATGGATATGTTACACTTGTTCAGCCTTCCTCTTGCCAACTCTCTACCCAATCCAGTGGAAAACTTTCAACTATGCACCGATAGCCATTGGCATATTTTTGACGCTGATAATGCTTTGGTGGGCGTTTGATGCTAGAAAATGGTTCAAGGGACCCGTAAGGAATATCGATTTACGAAATGGTCATAGTTGAGGCGTGATGCTAAAGTCTACGAGACTTGTCCATCCATGTTGTATCTTCCGATTGTGTTGGAGGAACAGCTCATTTTCAATTTCTTCCAATGATAACTTGTATTGATTCGTCTAGTGTCGATAAGTTTTACAATTTCAATAAATATTTGTGTAAAGATACGACAACCTTGATCAGCAGTAATGGAACTCAATCAAAACTATAGGATATGAGCCTCTTCCCTCAGTATGAAACCCTGACAGTCATTGCTCAGGGGTGAAGACTGCGATCTCTGGTGTGGTTTGGTTTTCTATGTATACAGTTTGCCCACAATCTTTTGTTTTTTAAGAATTACACTTGACCAATAGTCCAAGTAAAGGAAATGGTGTAAAAGCAGTGAAAACTTGTTTTTTAATCAACACACAAGTGCCTAGATACAATCTCGCATGTGATTTGGCCAATTAGTTGCAATGCTACCACATCTGTGCAGTGCACCAAAACGCATACATGTTTCCTTTTGAGCACTTAATGCATCAGTGACTTGGATATTGACACAAAACTCAAGACAGTAGAAAATTTTAGAGTTAGAAAGGGGAAGAGAGTGTTAATATTTGATCTAAGCTACCCCTGCTATTCTGATGCAAAGGAATTCCTTGAGAATATTCTCTAGTGAAACCTGGTTTCTTTCCCAGGAAGAGTAGCACCACTGAAGACATATTCTTGAACCCAAATATTATTTTCATTCCAGCGGTGAAAGAAAAGCTCTTACCATGACCATGACATCAAACATAACACTAATCCATTAAAGAAAGAATGTTACATCCTTGATCCAGCTACAGTGGAAACGAACCAATGATTTGTTTTTATGGACATATTGACTGAAACAGTGTTGACAGAATCAAAACAATTTCCCCTGAACAAGAGTTGACGTTTAACACAGAGGAGGAGGATATATATCTTCCACTTTTTGATTAATCTGGCATTTATGTCACAAAGAGTTCTTGAGATTCTGTAGGAGATGACCAATACTGCGGAAGTGTTTCAACAGTTAATCTCCGAGTTGCACTCAGCACTGAGATGAAAAACCGACTACCATCAATTTTGTATTCTTCGAGAGGATTCCTGTGCCCGAAACTTTTTACATTCACATGCCAGGGTTCTCAATCAGTTTAAGTCAATCAGAAAGACAATGAGAAATACATTGACAAAATCATACAAACCGCTGAGCTGAGCCTATTCATGTTTACAAGATGATCCCGCCAGAAATAGTCTAGAGTCTTCAGAAGAACTGTTCTCTGCATTCAATAGTGAAAAAATAAGGGAACTAAACACGGAATTCTATGAAGCCTGACAAAAAAAAAAAAGCACCCACATGAATCCTATATTCTACAAGTTGTTAGTGTGAGCGCCTACTGAATGTCTTGTTTTACAATTTAACAGGGCAACACACCTAGACGGATGATTTTACATGTGTTAGTTGTATGATTTTGTATTTGTTCTATAATAAAAGTAATTATTTTTCCTGATCACTCTTACAAGTAGGATGAACAACATGTCTACAATCCTACCCTTCACAGTTTAAGTTCATGTAATCCATCGAGTATAAATACTCAAAATCACTAATCTAGCCTACCTTCAGAAAAATTCTTAATGGTCATTAAACAGACATGTAAGGGCCCAAAATCATTCGAAGTTTTTTTTTTTTTTTCAATCATTATATATCTAGGTTATATATTTTCCAACTTGCAACTCAGCTAGGTGAGTTAAGTCCACAACTATAAATGGTATAATTTCTCAATTTTTTAATTGTAAATCTAACTTCAGACAGTTAGACCTTCCTCAAATCTAATTAAAACGAGTTTTTCTCTCTTTATTTCCCCGTTATCATAAATTATCTCTAGAAATTATATATAACTTCAACCAACATGTCTCTAGATATTATATATAACTTCAACCAACATGTTTGATAAATAAATAAAAAATAAGATTTTGATACAGTTCATCCTCCTACTAATTAATGTTTCATTGAGTCTTTTTATCATATCGCATTGTGTACCTATACAATAAATTTTTATTAAATATATAACAATCATCGCGACATGTGAAGAGAATTGTTGAAAATTTTACCCAGCACACGTCGTTAATTCAATGGTCAATCCTTAATTTTTTTTTTTTTAATGGCGTTAATTAAAGGAGAGTTGTTATTTAAAAAAGCAATTGCTATCCAAGGATACAATGAGACATTATATTAGTAGAGAGACTCAATGAAACATTTTCAAATAACAGAGGGACGATTATATCGAAATCCCGACAAAAAACAGTAATAAATTACGAGAGAAACTCAGTCTGTCAAAGAAAAGGCAAACGTATTAAATAATGGCGGCCATATTTTAAAAAAATAACAAAAAATCAATATTATTCTGCAGAAATGCTGACTGACTAAAAGTCTAAAACTGAGTTTTCCAGTGTATCTTGTTTTCAAAGTTAAGGGTGGACTTATAGCAGTACAGACAAGAGAGAAGTGGCGCCGAGAAGAAGGTAAGAGAGTTAAACAAGTCGTTCTTAAGAGTATCTTTGCTTTTGCCTTCACCAATATAATAGGATAGGTTCCCACATGGAATGACATTTGCGCTCCGTCATTGTTTCATCTTGCTGCTTACTAATATGATATTGTTATTCGTGGTCTTAGGATGCCTTCTGGTTACGACTATTTCAAAACAAACAAAGAACATGGAGACATGTATTCAAACTACAGCTACATATAACCTAATCCTTCATATAGCAAATTACAGTTTATGTCAAATAATATTAGAGTTTCAGCTCTAGCTAGCTCTTATCCCTGGCGAACAACCTGGTTATCGTTGCTAGCTAGTTTTCGTTATGGGTTCAGGAGTAGAGCATATTAGCATGGATCAAAAAGCTTTCGGAATTGATTCTGCAGAGAAGCGTCTCAATGAGCTCGGATACAAGCAAGAACTCAGAAGAGAAATGGTTGCGCATATTAATAATCTTCCCCTTTTTTTCTCTGTTTTTTTGACAACCTTGATGTGTGGATTCATATGTTTTTCATGGTTGGTCTCTTGCAGACATTTTTCAAGACTCTTGCGATTACATTTTCGAGCATGGCAGTTTTTATCGGGACACCTCTCTATGGGCCAAGCCTACGTTATGCAGGACCTGCAAGCTTGATATGGGGATGGGTTGTTGTCACTTTCTTCACTTGGTTTGTTGGGATTGCCATGGCTGAGATTTGCTCTTCTTTCCCTGTATACATCTTGATTTCTTATATCTATATATATAAATATTTTCATTTCTCACAGAGTGCCTTTGCCTCTATTTACACCGAGGAATTACACATCTATATTGTCCATCTATAAATAAAATTTGTCAATAATTTGTTCATTTTTCTCTCATGGACTTTTCTTAAAACATTAAACAGACCACGGGTTCGCTTTACTTTTGGGCGGCTCATTTGGCTGGACCCAAGTGGGGGCCATTTGCATCCTGGTGCTGCGCTTGGCTCGAGACCATTGGAGCCGTTTCTGGAATTGGTGCTCAGGTATGTATGTCTATATAAACATACACCATGCTTATTTTTGGTGAGGTCAATACAGTGTCTCTTCAATGAACTTGATATCGGCTGGTTGAATTATTTTCACTCTTTTGTATGAATGATGATGATGCATGATATGCAATGAACTTGCAAACGGATGCATTCTTAGAATTGTTCATGTTTTCGTTCCAAATATTTAATACCTAGCATTGCAGGCATATTCAGGAGCCCAAGCACTACAGATGATTATTTTTCTCGCCACAGGAAACAACAAGGGCGGAGGCTACTTCGCTTCAAGAGGTGTTTTCTTGTGTATGTATATGGGTTTCACTATCACATGGGCAGTACTCAACAGCTTCGCTTTACAAGTCATTGCATTCCTTGACATTATCTCGATATGGTGGCAGGTTAATTTGCTACCTCTCTAGTTATTCCTCCTCCTCCCTTCCAAAGGGTTCCGTACATAAACACTCTAGGGTCTTCAATTCATGCAATTTGCCCCCTCCTCCTAGGAAATTAAAGCAATCTTATTGAGTTCATTAGGACTGCTTGCTCATGAAAACGTGCAGGTGATTGGGGGTTTAGCAGTGATTGTAGTGCTTCCTTTGGTGGCACAACAAACACAATCTGCTTCTTTTGTGTTTACTCATTTCGAAACATCACCCGAGGCAACTGGAATAAGCAGTAAACCTTATGCGGTCATTCTATCTGTGCTGCTAAGCAACTACTGCCTATATGGCTACGACACAGCAGCTCATTTAACCGAAGAAACAAAAGGTGCTGATAGAACAGGCCCTGCTGCTATTCTTTCCAGTATCGGCATCATCTCAGTTATGGGATGGGCATATTACTTGGCTCTTACTTTCAGTATCCAGGTATGCTCTCTGTTAGGTTATTTTCCTACCAGAAAGATGGGTTTATGCTGATACGAGGCTTTTGATTTTACTGTAGGATTTTAACTATTTGTACGATGTGAACAACGAGACTGCTGGTGCGCTAGTTCCAGCACAGATAATCTATGATGCATTTCAAGGAAGGTACCATAATTCAACTGGAGCAGTAGTTTTTCTATGTATAATCTGGGGATCCTTCTTCTTCTGTGGGCTCTCAGTAACCGCAAGTGCTGCCAGAGTGGTAAGAGATTGAATCTCGTTCTCCTTTTCTAAAATGGGATTTGAAAATACATCTAGCAGCTATATTTCACTGTAACTTCTTCAGTTCCTAAAATTTTGTTGGTTTGACAAACAAGTATTTCTTCGGGTGGCACTCACACGATTCCTTTTAGGTCTATGCTCTATCAAGAGACAAGGGGATCCCATTTTCACCTATCTGGAGAAGAATTCACCCGAAGTACAAGGTTCCAACAAATGCTGTGTGGCTGTGTGCTACCATTAGCATTATTATTGGACTACCCATCCTGAAGCTTGATGTAGTTTTCACAGCCATTATATCGATAAGCACAATTGGCTGGGTTGGAGGCTATGCTGTACCAATATTTGCAAGGCTTGTCATGGCTGAGAAAAACTTCAAACCAGGGCCCTTTTATTTGGGTAGAGCCAGAAGGCCCATTTGCCTCGTAGCGTTCTTGTGGATATGTTACACTTGTTCTGCCTTCCTCTTGCCAACTCTCTACCCCATCCAGTGGAAAACTTTCAACTATGCACCATTGGCCGTTGGCATGTTTTTAACGCTGATAATGCTTTGGTGGGCGTTTGATGCTAGAAAATGGTTCAGGGGACCCGTAAGGAATATTGATTTACGAAATGGTCATAATTAAGGCTTGATGCTAAAGTCTTAAGGGACTTGTACATCCACATTATATCTTCCGATTGTGTTGGAGAAACAGCTCAGCGTCAATTTCTCCCAATGTTAACTTGTATTTGTTCGTCTAATGTCGAAAAATTTCACAATTTCAATAATATTTTTGTAAGGATACGACATGAACATGGATAACACTGATTAGCAGTAATGGAGCTGAATCAAAACTACAGGATTCGAGCCTCTTCGTTAAGTGTGGAACCCTGACAGTCATCACCTAGAGACAAAAGGGATGACGAATGCGATCTCTGGTGTGGTTTGGTATTCCATGCATACAATGCGCCCACAATCTTTTGTTTTTTCGGAATTACACATGACCAATAATCTTAAAAAGGAAACAGTGAAAATGCGGTATAAACTTCTTTTTTTATCAACACAAGCGCCTACATAAAATCTCGCATGCGATTTGCCCAATTACGTGGTATGTTACCGCTTCTGTACAGTGCACCGAAACGCATGCCTGTTTCATTTCGAGGGATAAGTTATCCCACCCAAGATTGATACATACATGTGGCAAGACATCATGCTGTAATCCCTCGCTCTGCCAGGAGAACAAAGAGCAGTTAATGCATCAGTGACTTGAATATTGACACAAAACTCAAGACAGTAGAAAATTTTAGAATTAGAAGGGGGAAGAGAGTGTTAATATTTGAAATAAGCTACCCCTGCTATTCTGATGCAAAGGAATTCCTTGAGAATATTCTTTAGTGAATCCTGATTTCTTTCCCAGAAAGAGTGGCACCACCGGGATGCACTTTTTTTTTTTTGGAAGAGAGCTTCATTGAGCTCGTCTCATCCAAAATAATACAACACTGAAGACTCTTAACATATTCTTGAACCCAAATATTATTTTCATTCCAGCGGTGAAAGAAAAGCTCTTACCATGACCATGACATCAAACATAACACTAATCCATTAAAGAAAGAATGTTACATCCTTGATCCAGCTACAGTGGAAACGAACCAATGATTTGTTTTTATGGACATATTGACTGAAACAGTGTTGACAGAATCAAAACAATTTCCCCTGAACAAGAGTTGACGTTTAACACAGAGGAGGAGGATATATACCTTCTGCTTTATGGTTAATCTGACATTCAAGATACAAAGAGTTCTTGAGATTCTGTAGGAGATGACCAATACTGCAGAAGTGTTTCAACAGTTAATCTCCGAGTTGCACTCAGCATTGAGATGAAAAACCGACAACCATCAATTTTGTATTCTTCAAGAGGATTCCTGTGCCCAAAACTTCTTACATTCACCTGCCAGGGTTCTCAATCAGTTTACATCATTCAGAAAGACAATGAGAAATACATTAACAAAATCATACAAACCGCTGAGCTGAGCCTATTCATGTTTACAAGATGATCCCGCCAGAAATAGTCTAGAGTCTTCAGAAGAACTGTTCTCTGTATTCAATAGTGAAAAAATAAGGGAACTAAACACGGAATTCTCCGAAGCCTGGCAAAAAAAAGAAAAAGCAGTGCTTCTGATGAAACACCAGTAAATCTTTATTATGAACAATTTTTCAATGTAATAATAATAAATCTTCAGGGTTTTTGACTAAAAAAGTTTGGCATCTCTCTGTTCTCAAGAAAACCATACTCCCTGAAACATCAGTAAATCTTTATTATGATCAATTTTTCAATGTAATATTAATAAATCTTCAGGGTTTTTGAATAAAAAAGTAAGGTATCTCTCTCAGTTCCCAAGAAAACCATACTCTATCCACACCCTTAATCAGAATTTGATTCCTTACCTTCTTGCTCTCATACGTCCACAACTGGAGATCAAAGTATTAACTATTTTCAATCCGTTTCCATTATTCTTTTCAATAATTTAGGAGACTGTTTTCTCACCTCAAACAGAGTAGTTTTGTAAAAGAGAGGGTTTGGGTGAGAGATTTAAAAGGGATTTGTCACCGTAAATTAGCTTCCACCAAAAAATGTGCCAAAAGCAATCAAGAAACCCGGGTAATGCAGCAGCAATTATTCTTATCTGAAAGTTACAAGTTTTTGGATTTGAACTCCCAAACACAATAGCTAAGGGTGGGGAACGACACGTGTGAACCAAAACACCAAATTTCATTAAAGCAAACTGATACCAGATGCTAGAGAAAATTCTAGGAAATATAAAAATTTGCACTTAAGGTCTCAAGTTCTTTGTTAATAATATTAACTCATCTTGATCCCATTTTCATTTGCAAACAAAGGGCTTTTTGGATATTGTTTTCATATCTTGTTACACAAAAACATCTTTTACCTATTTTAACAAACAGGTTTCTTTTAATGAAATTATCTCCAGAAAACTGTTACTGGAGAGAGAGCACAACATCTTTTCCAACCCAGAAACCAGTTTTCTGCCATTCAAAACAGCAATCAAACAGGACAGAGGTTTCTCATCCGCATGACGGAAGCACTTAAAAGAGGAGCTTACCTCAATTTCTTTGATATATGCATCATCATAACCGGATTCTTGTATAACATCCAAATATGAAGCAATTAAAAAATCTCCAAGGTATTTGCGAAGAAGATTGGTTGTTGTCCGGTAGCTCCCATTCCTACATTAAACTTATCAGTGGATCATAGAATTCAACATACTGAATTGGAAATAATGAAACTAAACAAGGCTTATTAAGATTGCACTGACTTAGTCAAATCATCAGAACAAATAGCAAGCCATCGTTTTAATGAAGAACTCTTCCTGCGGATTCCTCTGAAAGCATTTGGAGGCTTTGGCAAGTTTGGAAGGTGAAAACTGCTGATATTAATAGAACTTGATTCGTGTAGTTGTAAGAGAGATTTCAGAAAGGCTTCCTCGCTGATGCCTACAAATGGTTCTGGAGAAACTCCATATAAGAACGATATATCTTGAAATATAGTGGGCTGGGTTATAATTCTAAATTACTTACTGACAAAATTAGCTGAACATATTGAGCAAAGAAGGATACGAAACTAACCATGTAGTAGCTTTCCCCCAATAGTTATAAACTCCTTTAAGAGCTTACTCAGATTCCAGCTTCTTGGATGCTATAAATGAGGAACAATCAATAGAAGAAAGTTGTGATTAAAGGTAACATGTACAGGGAAATTGCAACTACCTTCAGCGGATCAGCATTGCCAAAGACAATTTCATCCACCACAGCTTGCATGTACCTAATTAGCAACTTTGTTTTAATGGAAACAGACAATTCGAAGTAGAATTCACAAAAATGAGTGTTCATGTGAGCTAAAATTTCAAAAAAAAAAATTGTGCATGTGAGCTCACAGATGCACAGAGCAAAAAAAAAATTAATCATGAGGCGAGAACCAACTAAAATAGCTACCACTCAGTGTTCAGGTTGGTATCAGGTCTTCCCATCTCAAATTTGGCCCTCACACAAATCTGGAGGATTGCAACATGAAAAGACATTATTCACTTTGTATTTTTTTCAACATTTCACTTTCATTCTGTTGACTATGCCATACAATCAACCACACAACACAGCACTATCTACTATCCTGAGAGGAATTTATTATTGCATGTTCATTGTTGAGGATCAAACCTGAATGGCATTAATGCCAGTTTGCAGATTGAATTAGAATTTCAACAGATAACAACCACAGCAATAAATTTTAACTTGTCTTCATTCGGACTGTGTGAAGCACAAAAGTATACCTTATAAAAGCAATGACAGCAATGCAAAAACAACCACAGAGCTCTCATGCATGGAAAATGCAAATAGCAGTCCAAATTACAAAATATGTTGAAAGTCAAAAGGGCACTCACTGGAATACATGTTGAGAACAACTTTCATCATCTCCGGTTAAAATCAATTGCCTAAGATCATATACATGTTTCCTTTGTACCTGATGAAAATAAGAAACAAATCAATAACAGTAGAGACCTATGCTATGACTCAATTGAATGTCTGACTTCATTGATCATCGGGATATTTCCTTTATTACTTGATGGAAAGCAATTAAAATTAGCTTCTAATAAATGAACTTTGCAGTGACTATCAACTACCCAATGCTTTCAATTATCTTTTTATGGTTTTGACTGTCTGTGATGAAATATTTAGATAATATTTACTAAAAATTTGCTAGCAAAGAGTTTAAATGGTTTCCATTCCATAAATAGGATTAACAGAATCTGCTGCATCTAGTTTAATACATGTTGTCCATGGAAGGTAAAAATTATTGCGGATAATACAATTATTCTTTCTTATCATCTTGAAAAAAAAAAATTCCTTATCAACATGAACTTAACATGAATGGGAACAGGTGGCTTCGTGTTGTTGATTGCCTTATGTCAAATGAGGGGATATAACAAGATCAATTATCCAGTCATTATGCAAGTGACAGCAGCAAGTGCTAAGATAAGGCAAATGTTATTCTCTATGCATACCTCTAATACTTCATCAAACTCAACTAGGCTCTTTCTTATGCCAAAGAAGTACTTCTCCGCATTGATTTGCAGGGATAAAAGCTATAAATTATTTCATTTCAAAGTTAGTAATAAAGTACTCGACCACTAGAACGACAGCATATAAAGAAAAAGAAAGTCTGTTCACATAAGCTAAATAATCACCTGATTTACAATTGCATCACCTTCAATCGGTATAGTCTCATCATCAGTAATCTTTGAGATAAGTCTCACAGCCCACTCTGTATCAAAATTAAATTTTTGAAACATTTCATCCTGCAAGCTGTGTCAAAAATGAATCAGCTCAATAATTAGCTAAAACACCTAACAGTAATGGATCATAAACATTTATTTGAAGCATACCAAACACACACTTTGCGATGCTACACCTCTACTCATTGACAATGTTATTGACAAAGTTCCATTATTGTTCAAAAAAGAAAATGATAAATACACTTCCCTCAACTTCAAGATAAGTCACCTATGATAAAATTTAGAGCAATGGACATTCTTGTCCACTAACAATCACATGATTCTCAAATAGGTCCCAGAAAAAAACAATTCCTAATCAAATCCTCATCCATCAAACATTTCCATATTAACCCCCACCATTAAAATTTATGACAAAACCATCACTTTAAGACAGATTAGTCCACCGGTTTTTAAGGAGAAGGTAATAGGGTAACGACTAATGGGGACCCAGTTGGGTTTTTTTCTTTTTTAGGATCCAATTGTGAATTGGGTGATGGTTGGGGGATAAATGTGTACTTTTCCCTAAAATATACAAGGCCGGTCTTTTGTTACATAGATGCTCCAGCAAAACAATTATTCAGATAAAAGCACCATTGGGGAAGCATAAAAGAAGAGCATCAGTACAGCGAGGGTAAGAAGACAGCGGACTATGAGAGGGCTGTAGAGTACTGTACAGGTCAAAATCCTCTATCTGTCCCACGTAGAATTAGTTTTCCAAGTTATTAGTTCTGCATGATGTCTTATCACCTAGAAATGCTTCAGATGGTACTGTCATAATGAGTTTCTAGAAAAGGTCCGATATCATATAGCACACGCCTTATTTAGATTGTGTTTGGTCAGTGTTCTAAGACAGAAGAGATAAATTTTGAAGAGACAAAATCATGTTTGATTGGAGAGACAGAAAAGCAGACATAAAATAAATTTGTCTCTAACAGGGGGACATGGCCCTATGTCCCAATTATTTGTCTCTTATGTCCCAAGACAATAACCAAATGCTTAGAATTTCATTTAGCAAAGTACTTGTTGCTCAAGACTTCATGACAGCACATTAGTACATTAAGAAACTATTCAGGAACAACAAATCAAGATAAAAAGGCTAACAAACAAGTATAGTGGTACCTGACCATAAACCGGGTAGAACCAGGATCCCCTTGCCTTCCTGCTCTTCCACGAAGCTAGTTTGACAAATGGAATCACAATCTTGAACTTATAACCATGTTTTGAAACTTAACAAATAACATGAAAACAACATATATATTGTCAATCAGAAGAAGTTGACTCTAATTCAGCTAGCCGAAACTAGACACTTCAATGGTGAGACAACAACTTGCATATAAAATGACCAGTATGCTAAATATGAGCACATTATGTATCCCCCTGGTAGAAAGTATGTTGGTTCTAGAAAACAAATTTTTCAGACAATAAATTCACATAGAGCATTTATATGTGGGAATAGCTTTTGTGACACAACTATATGATCCATCTTGCCAAAAATATTGGATAAATTTAGAATCCTTGCTTCTAATGGAACTGTAATTGCAGATAACTCACCTGATTATCAATTCTCCGAGACTCGTGCAAAGATGTTCCAATCACATGGAGGCCCCCAAGCCTTTTCACCTCAGACCCTTCATTGAAGCAGTGTACTTCACAATCCTTCAGCACTGACAGATAGGCAAGTGATATAGTTGGGCCTAAAGGGTACATCTCAGACTGCTCATTAGCAAGCTGCTGGAGCTCTTTTGCATCCATTGAATGGCTCATTTCCACAGAGTCTGATACAATCGATTTCGCCTCCTGATATGTCCAGCTCTTACCCTCACCTTTTCCGACATACTTGGCTAGAATAATTCACATTCAAAATCAGGACAGAGACACCAGATTACTTAATGCAAATCTCCATATAAAGCATACGGTGTATTAAACAAAGCAGAAAAAAAGCTTTCATGTAGAGTCACAAACCCATTAGTGCTGTCTTTGCTAGCAGAGCAGATGATATTGATCCAACCTTTATCTCTGACAATACCTACACCAAATAGAATGATTAAAACTTTTGAAAGGATTGCTCTAGTAACTTATAGTTACCACAAGAAATCACCTTTTGTGAAAATATCTCGTGGTCAATTTCTGCATTAAGAGCTTCTTGTGTAAGAAAAGGGAGCACCCTGTTCTCTATAATTTCTTTTGCAAGCATCTACATATACAGAGACCAGAGATATGGTGAACGATGTCATTCACTGGAATCAAAAGACACTCCAACCAAGAAATCCAAGTCTTGCAAAGTTACCCAAAAACATTGTGTCGGTAAAATTTTTGCCCAAGTATCATCAGGTAAAAAAGAGACAGGCATCCAGCACACACACTTACTTTTGGATTTCCTCCCAGAATTATATCAGTGCCTCTGCCAGCCATATTTGTAGAAATGGTTATGGCATGTTTTCGTCCTGCTTGAGCAACAATTTCAGCTTCCCTTGTGGCATACTGATGGACAAAATTATGAAACAAACTGGTGAAAAAATTACACTGAAACAAATGACATAACACAAGCATGTAACTGGCATGGAAAACTGTGCATCACTTATGCAGCATTTGGTGGTCAAATTTATCAAACCTTTGGTCGAGCATTCAGAACATTGTGGGGGATTCTCCATTCCTTAAGCAAATCAGACAGATATTCAGAATTCTCAACACTGCATCAAGAAAGAACTGGGCCAAACTCATGAAACTGTTTACATCTAAACAATAAAATTGAAGTGCACAGCCCTTTTCAGATATGTTTCCTCTTCTATTTTATTGTTTCTGGATTTAAAGAAAAAAGAAAAAAGAAAATTACAGTTAATTGTTTCTGGATTTAAAGAAAAAAGAAAATTACAGTTGTATGTAAAAAGACAATAGAAGGAGTTGTTTGTGTTTTTTGTTGATGATTTACCTAGTGGTTCCAACTAAAACAGGACGGCCCTGCCTGAACATATACTCGACTTCTTGCCGAACATACTCCCATTTCCCACGAGCAGACTAATAGAATTCACAAACAAAAGGCATGATTAAGTATAAAGATGCACAACAATAACAACAAAGCCTCAATCCCAAACTAGTTGGTGTTGAAAGAAATAAATAAAATAAGAAGTTTCAATTCTTATGAAGTTGTTGTGTATCAAAAGAAAATGAAGAAGTTTCAATTCTTATGAAGTTGTTGTTTATCAAAAGAAAATGAATTTGAGATATTTAAAAAAAAAACAACTACCGCAAAAGCTTGTATGGGTAAATCTTTACGGATATTTGGTAGGTTTGTTGGCACTTCAATAACTGGCACCTGGAACATTTTCAAAAACTCCTTCTCCTGCAATGATGTAATGGAAATTTTCAAAATTGCATTCATAACTAATAAGTTAAAAACAATCATATAGCTTTGAGCGTGACCCATATATAACTATGCTTACTTCAGTTTTTGCAGTCCCAGTCATTCCTGAAAGCTTTGGGTAGAGCTTAAACAGTGATTGATATGTGATTTGTGCAACAACAACTGAATCAGCCTACGAAAGTGTTGAAAAACCGCAACTTTCAATTGGATAAAAAGAACATGTTTTATGTAATTATTGCATATTGAACTTCAGTTAACAGTTTCCAAACATCCAGTTCTACCTGGATCTTCAGACCTTCCTTAGCCTCAACAGCCTGGTGAATACCTTCAGACCATCTCCTTTTCTCTTCAACTCTTCCTGTCAACTGCACAAATTTTATAGTTCTTCTATCTGATTACCATATTTAAGTCTTCAAATTGCACTGGTGTATCAACAGTAACAGTTACTCGTTCTTCTACGTAAGAAAATCATACAATATCAAACTTTGAATAAATACCTCATTGATTATGAGAGCCTTCCCGTTCCTAACAATATATTGAACATCCCGTCGATAGAACTCTTTAGCCTTTAAAGCATTCATCACAAATCTGCAATATTTTGCTTAGTGATAAGTTGAAAGAGGAAATGAAATAGCATTGACCTGATATGCCATTCTCCAGGCAAAGAGCCATAGAAATAAACCAAGAGGGTAGACACACTCAACCCATTGAAAGAATTAATGAATACAAACTGAACAAAAGAAAGCGATTTGAAATAGTTGAAACAAATATTTCCAGAAACCACAATATGGGTCTGTAAGTTCTTGTGAAGGGGCTGGTACGAGAAAAGATATTTTAAGGAAAAAAATGAGAGAATAATAGCATTTTCACCTCATATCCATTAAAAAAGCCAATAAAAACATCCATATTCACCTAGCCCAGGGATCATTCTCATCCCACAGATCTTTTGTTTCAAGAGCCATCTCAGCAAGTAATATTCCTTCCTCTGTCAACTCCACTGAATTGTCTTTAAGCTCCACAGAGTAATGCTGTTGACAGAATTGAAAAGTAAAGCGTATGACTTTTCAACTATAGATGATGGTTCACATATAAAATAACTGTATGTGGTCTATAATTCAGCATGATTGCAGACTAGACTCACGATGCCTCGAATAAGTAACTCAGCTACTTTAGCAGCAACTGGATATCGTGCAGCATCCTTATTAGCCTGTCATAGACAGAGAAGAGGTAATAGCCTATAAAAAAATAAAATAAAAATAAACACTATTTCTAACATTGTAGATCCTTTTTGTGATGCTAAACAGTTAGTACATTACTGATTTTGAGATTTGCTGGCTATACTTTTAGGAGAGCTAGGCATAATCACCTCACCACTTATTAACAATGGATTTCTTCCTTCATCAATGAGGACTGAATCAACTTCATCAACTATTGCAAAATGAAAAGGCTTTGGCCTGTATAACCACAGTTGAATGGTATAGTTCAATTTTAAAAAAAAAAAACACAATGATAATGTAAAAATGAACTTTGGATGATCTCTTGATATATACCATCTCATCACAAGTTGTTCACTGTTTCCCGCAAGGTTATCTCGTAGATAATCAAAACCAAGTTCCTGAGTGCATTCAGAATGACAATTATCATTAGAAAGAAGATAAAGTCTTGGAAAGAGGGGCATCAATCACCAGCCAACTCCACCGGGACAATGAAACAAAAAATTCAAGTAGCCACCACAGTTGTGAGAAAACAAATGGACTACTAGCAACATTCATTAAGGAACAACAGGAAATCAGGATTGACTTACTGAATTGTTGGTGTAAGTTATATCACACCTGTAATTGGATCTCCTCTCTTTAGATGCCATCCCCTTCTGCATATGCAAACAACTACAGCTTAAAGCTGTAACAACTTGCAGTCTAGGTATATGAATAGTTGTTTAATTTTGATTCTCTTATAAGATATCCTCTGGAATCAGCCCCAGGTAATCGCAATTGCGTAGAACATGTTAAAATCTTAGGGGACATATTTAAACCTGAATAAGACCAACTGAAAGGCCCAAGAAACGATGAACACGACCCATCCACTCAGCATCACGTTGAGCCAGATAATCATTCACAGTTACCACTGCCAAGGGAGAAAAGCAAACTCATACATCTAGCAAAAGAAATCCACAAATAACTTGTTCAACTGCTGCCCTTAAGCAATTTCCGTTTCAGTACGATCACAGCTTCATAACTGCAGTAAAATACAGTTCAAGCCTCATGGTGATTAGTCATGGAAGATCACTCCTGAACATGACTTTTTATTTTTAATTATACTTTGATTATCCTTTACCAACAAGCATCTCAGTCATAGCCTCAAAAACTCGCAACTAAATTTTAAACCCAATTTTAAAATGCTAGGAAGATAGCTAAGCATATCTTGCAATTGGAATAAAACAGATATCTATCTTTTGGAACTCGGGATATAAAACATACCATGGACACCCTCGCCAGTCAATGCATTGAGATATGCTGCTAGTGTGGAAACCAATGTTTTCCCTTCCCCTGTTTTCATCTCAGCAATTGATCCATCATGAAGCACGGCGCCACCAATAATCTAGCATTGCAAATCACAACGTAAGTAAACATGACAACCTGATTTCAATAAATACATTGTGTTCCATAGCACAATTATACATGATAACCTATTATAAGCAAGCATATGCTTATGCATGGATTCAAGCATGCATGCGTGCATGTATAAGGGTGATAGAGAGTGTAATCGAAAACCTGCACGTCAAAATGGCGCATCCCAAGTTTCCTCGTTGCAGCTTCACGAACCACAGCAAAGGCCTCTGTAAAATAAATGACATGGAAAAATAATACATATTCTAACTCTCATCTGACATTCTCTAACAAGTGTAATTTATAAATTCAGATAAGAAAAGGAGTTCTGTAGCAGCAGACCAGCTTGAATATCTGCTAGTGTCTCCCCTTGTCGCAACCTTCTCCTAAACTCCACGGTTTTAGCACTCAACTACCATAAAAGAAAAAACGGCCCATTACCCAAAATGACCCAAAACACCATATTTTAACACTTAGAATGCTAATTAATAAACTCGCAAACCTGATCATCAGAGAGCTTTTGTATCTTAGACTCAAGAGCATTGACAGCCTCCACTAAACGATAATAATCCTTCACAATCCAGTAGTTCAAGCTCGTAAAATCAGTCACTCTCTTCTTCAAACTGCCCAAATTCTCCTAAAATATTGCAAAACGTGATTAGCAAATACACACAATCGTTGTAACAAACTCAGGTAATCCTTTTATCGAACATGTGGTGGGCAAAGCAAAAGGAACCTTGAGAGAAACATTAATAGCAGTGCTACTGCGGATAACAAGACGTCTTTGAAGCCTTGGAAAAGAGAGGGTTAAGGAGAAAGGAAGAGTGGGGATGGGTTTGGTGTAGTAGAGAGCCATTTGTTTGTAAGGTGGTTTAGATGGGAGAAATGGAGGGTTTAAGACAGCGGGAACGGGGGCCATGTGAGGTTTTTCCTCTTTCGGTTTGTGTGTCTTTCGGTGCGTGCGTGCGCGTTGAGGGGGGCCTTAGAGATTCGCCGGTGTGTTGCTGCTTCGAGTTCTTTCGTTGGTTTTTGCGTTGTAGCCAGGAGCCAAGCAGCAAATAATTTGGGCGGCCACTTATCTTTTAGCCCCTGATAATTTTTCAAGTTTCCACTTCACAACCTTTATAATTCAAATGTTTCTATTGTCCGTCCTAATGATTTCAAGAAATTCTAATCTGACACTTTGTTGTTAACATAATGTTGGGAAGATGGATCTTTAGCAGAAGATAATTTGTATGGAAAGAAATTAACAGGAACGTGGGGGTTCTCTTGCGTGAAATACAGGGGAAACTGGACGAAGAAGAACCAGGAGGGGAGAATTTTCTTGGGAACTGGAAAAATAAAAAAACAACGACTTATAAAGAAAAATGGCGTTTGTCTTACAAAAGCAATTTATTTTTTCTAGCTTTTTTTTTAAGAATTTTTTTTTAAACAAAAAGCGACAAAAATAATTCATAGCACATTATCTCCGACAGTGTACTTTTCACAAGTTCGCATGGCTCACATTCATTTCTCTACAGTGATTTAACATGTTTTTACATGATTCTTGGTATATCTCTAATTATTTTATCATATGTATATTCTATTATTCATATGGGATTTTCGAATGAATTTATGAAGCATATATCAAGTTTTTTTTTGTCACGCTTTTCTCATATAAATCACGTTACTAATTTTAATTACTAATCTAAAAATATCTCCATGGAGATATATTAAAAAATTAATATTTATTCAATGATAAAAAATAACTCAATTATATTATAATGATAGATAGCTATACAAATATCCCATCAGGGAAAAAAAACGATGTCGTAAATATATATACAAGGTCGTCTTAGTCTGGAATCTGGCAAAGAATATGTAATTAAATATTTAAATCTCTCAAACTTACAAAGAACTTGTTAAATATATTGATCCCGTATCTGCTAATTATGCCAATAAAAACGGAATAATTGTATCCTGCTGTTATTCACGCCATCATACTGTAGGATTGTAGGAGGAGAAGAGTACATAGACGATAAAAAGAAAAACACGGTTATCCACGCAGTCATGCTTGTGTTTTTTTGGACTTCGTAACGAGTCACCAATCTGGAACAGACTTTAGGCCCATGAGGACCAGCCTAAAACTCTAGCCCAGGAAAAAGATAGGCCCGCCACCCTTATAATATTATGATTTTAATTTCGTATTCAGTGCAAAATGTGTTTGAAAAAAATGATTTTTTTATTTTAAATTAATTTTTTAAAATAATTATATCAAACATAAATTTTAAAAAATTAAAAAAAATATATTATTTTAATATATTTTTAAATAAAAAATATTTTGAAAAATAAGTATTACACAATTGAACAAGCCTTTAATCTTCCATTTTTCTAGCCACCGCAGCTTTACATTAGAGTGGTTGTTCCCGCCCAGGTAGCAGGACAAATTCCCTCAAAAACAAAAACCTTAAAATGAAAGGGAGAAACATCAGACACACAATCTACGGGGAATGACATTAAACTTCTGTTGGTGACCCACAACTAACCAGAATCTAGTCGCTGTCACCTGGGACCTGAACATCTAAATATTTGAATATTAAATTGCCCCTCTCCCTCGAATAAGAAATTAACATGCTTCAGTTGGCGGGGCTATTCTTATGTAGTTTTATTCTAAGGAAATATTTTACAATTTCATGCGGTGGTGCCCCTGTTAATTGATCGAGTTCGTGTGATTTTTAAATGCCTTGCCAAGGGGGACTGGTGCACTGAGGAGGTTCAAGGGATCGGCGGTTCTTATTTCTTAGTGCCGGTATACACGTGTCATTTAAGATGTGTTTAGCTATACTATACATAATATGTTTTTATAAAAATAATTAATTTTCAAAATTAGTATACACGTGTCATTTAAGATGTGTTTAGCGATACTATACATATTATGTTTTTATAAAAATAATTAATTTTTTAATTAATTTTCAAAATTATGCATTGACTTGTAGATAGAAAATTTGTCGAGGTATTTGTTCTGATGTTTTCTTGCAGGATTATCTCCTTTTTTATTGTTCAAACGCCTTGCTTCAAGGCACGGTCCAACCTTTCCGCATTGACTTGTAGATAGAAAATTTGTCGAAGAATTTGTTCTGATGTTTTTTTGTAGGATTATCTCGTTTGATTGTTCAAAGCGTGTGGTTTCTTGTATTTTTTTAAAGTTCTCAACTGATCTTGGGTTATGGAGTTTAATAAGCGGTTAATAAGAATTTTATGATTTTTTAATTTGCTTTTAAAACTAATGTATATAAATTCTGTGGGTACAATCTGATTTGAGAATACCACGTAGACATTAAAAAAAAAAACAAAAAATTCATCCACAAGCTAGAAGAAGAGGCGCCTCCTTGGCTGCAAGACCCGCAATTTTGGCGAGCGGTATCGCCTGCAGAAAACAGACATACCTAATCCCTTGGCAAGGAATATTATCTCCTGATATTAATTAATGATATATTGCGGCTTTATCTGGTCAGATAAAGCCCCAATTTACGAGATATATTCAAACAATTCAGGCGAAATAGGGTGGTTCGAAAACATCGGTTTTCTTCTAATTTTCTCACCTGGAAGACTACAAGCTTGTAATTTACTATCCAAGATTGGGTCAAAGGGAAAGTTTTGACGTGTCAAGATTTGGTAAAAATAATTACAAACCATTTAATTTAAGAAAGATCCACAGATTTATTTTTAAAAAAATATATGTGTGTATGATTCAAGTAATGAAGATCACGATCATGCCCGAAAGATAATTTGCTAAATTTTCACCTAATATAAATCGGGTAGTTCATCCAACCATGATCACCTCTTACATCAGTGGTCAGTTGATCTACTTTTAAAATAGGGTTCTAGCACTTATTTGGCACGTGAAAATTCATAGTTGCATCCACTTACATGTGTCATGGTGGTGTCTAGTATTGCAATTTCAATTGTATTTTTAAAATAAAATTAATTTATTTTAGTTTTTTTTCTTGTATTTTTTCTTGTTTTATATTAAATATAGTTTTTTTAAAAAAATATTATTTTAATATAATTTTGAATGAAAAACATATCTATGTGACACATCGCGTGGCAGACCTGTAGCTAATAGCCTGTTAAGTATAGTTAATTAGCACTGAATATATAGCTGCAACTCGCAATTGGGGAAGATGCGGGCCTACGCCCAACCTCACTGGGACCCATCCTTCACACGTATCTCTCGCCAACGTTCCGCGCTTCCAGTCAATCTCTTCGGTGCATTTTGCTGTTGCTTCTGTTTTGGACTGATCCTAAGGGTTGTTTATTTAGCTCCTGGTCCCTATCACTAGCTCCTAGCTGAAATCAATTTCGTTTAAAGTAAAAACTTCCTTTTTTTATCCTTTCTTTTTGCACGTTCCATGTCTGACTTGTGTTCCGTCGTCCATAGTTAGTTTTTTTTTTTATTATTGTTATTATTATTATTATTAAGAAGAATAACTTTTCTCTATGTATGATTAAAAAGAAAATCACAGCTTGAGTGAATATAGTCTCATTGGCTTTTTTTAATTATTTCCTCTAGGACTGAGTTTCAAATTCCTGGTCTTTGAATTTATGTTGGTCCGATTATTTTTGTATTTTAAAAATATTTAAAAAATTAAAAAAAATTATTTTTTCATTTATTTTAAATTAATATACGTTTAATGTTTTCAAATCATTTTAATATGTTAATATCAAAAATAATTTTAAAAAGATATCATTCATATATATTTAAAATAAAATATTTAGAAAATAATCATAACTATATTTCCAAGCAATCCTTGTATGCAAAAATTCAACTACAAACTTAAAGTAAATGGATTTCACTTTGATTTATTTTTTATCAATTAAATTGTAGCTGTGAATTGGTTTGTAATTGACAGTATGATGTTTTAGGTTAATTAACTATTTTGCAATATAGGAGTCATTGATAGACCCAGCTGTAAATTTCTTTGGATTTACCACTGTCCGTCATTCATGGGAAAAATATTTGTGCAGTTTAGAAAAATGGTTAAAAAAACAATTATACAGATTAAGAAAGAAATTAATCTATGATGAATTCGTTAAAAACTCTAGGATGAATTTGGATTTTCCAATATTATTTTCCGCCCGCAGACATTACCAAAGGAACAACTCTTTTCATAACAAATTAAATAAAATAAATCACATATTCCCTTTAACTTCTCACATGAAAAGAACATCCTTGTGTATTTAAAGTATATTTATTTTTATATTTTTAAAGTATTTTAAAAAAATTATGTTGTAATTTAAATTCAATTTTTTATATTTTTACATTGTTTTGATATGTTGATGTCAAAAAATATTTTGTTGTGTTTTCAAATTGTTTTTTAATCTATTTTATATTTTGTTGTGTTTTCAAATTGTTTTTCAATCTATTTTATATTTTGTGATGTTTTTAAATATTTTAAAGGAGTGACAAACAATGTCATTGTTTCCTATTTTTGTTTTAATGTATCCAATAAATATATTTTCATAGTTTTCTATTAAAAAAATATCTAGAATAATTAAAAAACTGAGATGGAAATAAAAAAAAAACATTTTTTGAAAGTGAACATAATTTTTTTTGTTCCTGTATTCTCTGTATACAAATTTCACATATTTACATCTTTGACACCAGGATAAAAATGAAATTTGTCTCCTTTCTGAAACCAAATATGATTTTTATTTGGTACACTCGACTTTCCATTTTGTACATCACTGGATATAACCCGTGTTATGCCACGGGTTGGGCCAATTTTTTTCAATGCAGAAAAATGATATTTATGCCCCAACAACATGGTTTACAGAAGTGCGAAAAATATATTATTCAGATAATAAACTTGACCGTGTTTAATACACTGGTTTCACTTAATTATAGAACAAAAATAAAAAGAAATGATATCAAATGGACTAAATTAAAAAACAAATCACGATGACATGCATAAAAATAATGTTTGCCTAGATAATCTAGCACTTAAAACACAAAAAAATTAAAAAATAAATAAAATTTAAGTCAATCATTTTAACATGTCAAGTTTGCGATTCATGGTCGTGAGATTAAGATAACATTATATAAAATAAATAAAAAATAATGATACACAATTACCAATAATCAAATTATAGAATGGTAAAATGAAAAAAAAAGTGTCAAACAAGGAAAAAAAACACGCACGCATGCCCACGCATATCCACCAAACTCTACAGGTTGAATCATGCGAGTGGGATAACCAAGTAAAAGGTAAAATAAGAAAAAATATAAAATTCAGTTCTAAAAGGAGCTTAATGCTAAATATAGAAGAATCTTAAGCAGTAAATCTCAATTTTCAATAAATTTAATATTTAAAGATAAAATTTAAAAATAAAAAAAACTTTGAGTAATGATATAAAAAATATTGATATCAATACACGTTAACCTCTCAAATTTATGAACTAGATTATAAAATTATGATAATTCAATTAAAAAAAATCATGTATGCTAGTTTCAAAACAACTTAACATGATAAAATTAAAAAGAAAATAAAAAAATACACTAAACAAATAATTTCAATAAAAAATAAAAATTGAATTTGAAATATAAACAAAATAACACAACATCTTCCATTTTTATGGGAATCAGTGCAAATCACAAGGAAAAGAGAAAGCATAGAAAAAAAAAATAGATTGTCATGTGTTATTAACTTGTATATACGACACACTGCTCAACAACTCTCGCTGAACCATATTTACACCACCGACTAAGCTTGTATCTGGACACCATAGCAAGTCATACACGCCAGTAGAATATAATGACCTGCCTTTACAAGTTAGTATGTATAATGCATGCACCAATAAAAGTTGTCCTGTCCATTTATTACAGTTCATTCTATTTATTTTATATTTAATTTTGATTTGTTTAAACTTTAATTATCATATATTAATATAATTTTATTTTATTTTATCAAATCAAAGATCAATCAAGCGTCATAATTTTCTATAGACACTGCAAAAATCTTATATTAGTCAATCACATTAAAACATCAAGTTAAATTCAAAATAAATACAGTGCAGAATGATCAAATTTTTTTAAAAAAAGTTGAATGATTGAAAAAAATACACTAACACCTCTCCTAACCTTGTAAATCAATCCCTGATTTTATATAAAAAACGACTAAACATTTGATCAAAATTCAAATCCAACCACCACAGCACAAAAAATTTTAAATTAATAAAATTAAATTTTATCTTGCTAAACTAAATGCCAACCGAGTGAGAAAATATTTTTTTAACAACGTGACATTCCCACGTGAGAAACAAACTATCAAGACTAATTTAAAATTAATACAACATTATAAAGCCAGATAAAAAGAAAAAAAAAATCACGGGACCGATGTGAAAAAATCACAGGGATCAAAGTAGAGAGGAATCGTTGTTGTAATCCACATTGATTCCTCTCATTGGTCACAGTGAATCGCCAAGTCATCTTATTTTTTTAACATTGATAATTTAAAATCCAACCTGGATTATCAGCGGGGTAAGCCGCCGACACCCGGTGCCTTTTCGATACATGTCAGACCGTCTGTTGTCAAAATAGTTTGCGTTTTCAAATGAACGCGGAGATTAACGTGACAGAGAATATAAAAAAACGAGATAAATAAGGTCCGGTCCGCCATCAAGGAACGACTAGTTGCTAGGGTATTGGTTTACGCAACAGCTCAAAATAAATCGCGTAAATAACATATTTGGTAATATAGAAAATCAATTAACTGTTTTAATGGGATTCATATATTTTATATTGAAAAAATCGGTTTGTGCACAGCAACCGAGAGCTGTTTCTTTGTTCTGCCGTATCCTGGTGAATAATTCACCTGAGCAGCATTTTTTTTTTTTGGAGTGAATAGCATGTAGGTGAATTGATTCACCTAACATTATTCACGCAAACAGTAATATATAAATTTTATTTGATGTTATTTATGTGAATAGTATCTCTATCATTTATTGAATGGTGTTTTACTTAGATTTCTTTTTTATTTTTTAATTATATTTTACTTAAAAAAATTAATATTTAATATTATTTAATAACATTATATAAATTAAAAATATATCAAAAATTAATGCAACATATATAGAATTTAATTGTAATTTCAATTTTTTTCTAATGATATTTTATTTAATGTTTTTGTATTCTCAAAAACTATAAAAACTATAGTTTTTATCGAATAAATTTTATACGTGATGAAATTGTAGATAAATTAATAAAATAATAAAAAATATCTGATAAAAAATATTATTTATTTAATAATGCAGTAGTGATAGTTAAATCTATAATTTTTAAATTAAAAACTATAAATATTAATATATATCCTTTTTAGTTACTATATAACCCTGATTTGAAAAGTATATTTAATTAAATATATTAAATTATTTTTTTAATTAATTTTAATTTTAATTATAGTTTTAATGAATTATATATAAATACAAAACCAACTTCAACTAAAAATATTTTTTATAAAATAATTTTTTCAGACCACAACCAGTAAAATTGATCCCAATCCTTCTTTTTTAATATCTATTTATTTTTATATTTTAAAAATAATTTTTTTATATATATCACATGACATCTATTTTTCAATTTTTTTACTTTAAATTAATTTTTTATATTTTAAAACTATTTTAATATACTATATCAAAAATATTCTTTAAAAATAAGAAATATATTATTTCAAAACATTCACTAATAAAAAATAACTTTCACATTTCCAAACACTTACAATTCTCCGGTGGACACGACACCTATTTTCAAAATTGCTTCGAGCTGCAAGTGAGGTTCTGGCCTAGCGGTGGGAGGGGCTTGTCCCCTTCCTCCGCACCTAGGTTCGAACCTCATCATGCATGTCTGTCACCCCCGCGGTGCCTTACCTGCTCACTGGGCTTGCAGGATGTTCAGTGGGCCGTGGGGATTAGTCGTGGTGCGCGTAAACTGGCCCGGACACCCCACGTAAATAAAAAAAAAATAAAAAAAAAATTGCTTCGAGCTTTTCAAGGATATGGCTGGCCCGTGGCTGCCATCTTCTAAACCACGTTATCAGAGAGCCGTTGATGTGGGGCTCCAAGCATTTATCCATACCACGTGATTAGGAACCACGCGATCATGGTTTTCACTCTACCTGCCGCTGAGAGCGTGGCCATGAAGAGAGGTGCGCGGTCACGGGATTACTAACACGCAGGCGGTTATGGCCGCCACCGGCCAAATGAATGAATAATCTCCATGTAACGGCAACAGAGAAAAAGAAATAAAAAAAACCGGGTTAAAAAATTCAACATGTATTAAGAACATGGAAAAATAATAGTATATGTTCATAGCTATATTTAGTATGATTTTGTAAATTAATTTAAATTATTTTTTAATCTTTTGATATATAAAGAAATTCTAAATATATTTGGTTATGAATAACTTTTAACTTAAATAAAGTTTATTAAATTGATTTAAAATATTTATTTGATAAAAAATAAACTTTTAACTTTTTTTTTGTTTAAACAATTGCTTTAAACCATTTTTATTAACACAGACTTCTAACTTAAAATTATCTTAATTTATTTTTATCATGAATTATTTATAAAAAAACAGTATTTTAAATCACAAGTCAATATCAAACATGATTGAGTTTTAAGAGATGGTACAGCAATTAAGAATTGTCAGCAAGGAACAATTAGGATTTGATTGCACTCTATTGCCAGTACGACCTGGAAATATGTTGATGTGATTTTGGTACATTTTTATTTTAAAATATATTAAAATTATATTTTATTTTTAATAAAAACACATAAAAATTAATTGAAAATAAAAAATTAATTTTTTTTAAACAAAAAATAAAAGTTGTCATGATCAGCCTCGTATTCAACAAGTATAATTTATTTAAGTCTTGATGTCAAGGAAAGATTCTTGATAGTTCGATTTGAAAATGGTGTCGGGACCGTCTGCGAGGCACAAGTAATTGAGTGCTTTGAATTTAAGGGATAGGAGCCTTCAAATGATCTGATGGCCACTTCTGGTTTATTAGCAGGAAAGAATTATGCTATAAACTTTTAGCAGTAGCCTATCAATAGCACCAAAAAAGAAAAGGCTAGCAGACAGTCACTTTGCAAAAATTAAGCACACTTATCTGATTTTATAAAATAAATAAATAAAAATAAATACATAACACTTTTTTTAAATAATCATAAAAATCTTCAATCTAATCTATCGATCTCATCTTGAAATATAATTCAGTTACCAACTTATATTATAAAAAATGAAAAGTATTTTTGAGGGATGTTTAGAATAGCGGTAATAATTATTTAAAATATTTTTATTTAAAAAATATTTTTAATAGTAACTTAACAAAATGATAAAAAAAATATATATCAGGGCAAATAAAAAACTTTGAATTTTTTTAAAGCTATAATTGAAATATGGGGTCAAATACCTCTTCCAGTATTTTTTTATTTAATTATTTTAAAATGTCGATATTAAAAATAAATTTTAAAAAATATTACAATATATTTCAAAGAAAAAATATTTTTAAATATTACAAAAGATAAAAGGAAAGCTAATTTAAGAAATTTTCAATTGGAGAAACGAGAATAAAAGGAAATAATCATCATTTAAACAAACGGTGCAGGTACGCATCTGCCCCGCCAGGCAGCGCAGCAGCCCCCTTCCATCTTTATTAAAAAAAAAAACTCCTTATAATTTTTTTTTATAATATAATTACGGTTGTTCTTTATTTTTTTAATATATTAAAATAATATTAAAATATTAAAAAATATGAAGTTAAAATAAAAAATAAAAATTTTTAATATTTTTTAAAATACAAAAATAAATAAGCGGTATCTTATCTCAGTTTTTTAGGTCCTATGTCTTTGCAAGTGGAAGTGGGACCCAATACCACCAAAAAACAAATAAAAAAAGGGCCAAAAATAACAGTCACATACCGGTTAATCCAAACACTTATCGCAACAACAACACAACAAATTACCATTTAATCACTGTGTGTGGTGAGCACATACAGACATAATTTGTTTAAAAACTGTCCCAAAAAATAAAAAAAATCCACCACTCCTAATGTCATATCCATATAACTAAAATACACCTGGGTGTACTCTAAGATAGATTCCCTTCCTTACCCTTTTCGAGACTGGTTCAGACAACCAAACTGACGGTTAAAGCCAAAAACACCAACCTCTCTCTCTTCAAGTCTCGACTCTAATTGCTATATGAGCACGAGATGATCCTCTTCTGTTCTAGACAACAAAAAGACAATATAGAAACCCCCAAACGACATCTTTCTGATCACTAGGATTTTAAAGGCAGAGCATGAAGAAAATGCTGCACCGTGAAGGAGAGGAAATGACAGACTCCGGTGACAGTACGGTGATTGTAGGAGTCAAGCTTGATTCAATGAGTAGAGAGTTGTTGACTTGGGCTTTAGTCAAAGTGGCTCAACCTGGAGATACTGTTATTGCTCTTCATGTTCTAGGTAGTAATGGTAAGTGAAACTTTGAACTTGAACTGATATTGTTTTTCGTTTTTTGTATTGGTGGTCTGATTTTGGTGATTTGGTGAAATAGAAATTGTGGACCGTGAAGGGAAATCTTCGCTTCTCTCGCTTGTTAAAGCCTTTGACTCTGTTCTTGCTGTTTATGAAGGTTTCTGTAACTTGAAACAGGTTGGTTTTTGGTTTATTACATTAATTTAAACTTGTATTCTTTCATTTGCTATATATATGGCATGTGTGTTTTTGGTACTTAAAGTGATGTGATTTTATTGCCATCTGTTCGGTTGATGAGAAAATGAAAATTTTCGAGTAGATGTTCGTTGACAAGTTAGAAAAGTTGGAGAGTTTTGGGGGGGTTTGATGGGATGTGTGTTGCAGGTGGATCTCAAGCTCAAGATATGCAGAGGTTCTTCAACTCGAAAAATTCTAGTCAGGGAAGTAAAATCTCATGCAGCAACGAAGTTTATAGTTGGAGCCGCCAAGAATCATCCTTCAATTTGGTCATCAACATCTGTGGCCAAGTATTGTGCTAAAAAGCTACCAAAGGACTGTTCTGTTCTTGCTGTCAATAATGGGAAAGTTGTTTTTCAAAGGGAGCGCTCTCCAAATACTACTGGTGACTTTTTATTGTTTATTGGAGCTTTACACCAATTTAATTTCTCTCTTATGTTTTTTTCCTCAATTTTCTGGGTGCAGTAGTAAACAATCATGTAATTGTTTCAGGAACAAAAGATCATAGTAAGAGTTTGCTTAGTGTCGTTCACCGGACGATTTCATCTGAGAAGAATTCCAGAGTATTGAATGAAAGTGGTGCCAATGGGGGCTCTAAGGATGATCAGGATAATGACCAGATTTTGGAGAAGGCCTTAATGAAAGCTCGTTCGAATAGTCTGGAAAGTATCATGAAAGAGAATTGCTCAGTTTGTGGGTCGGTTACGATATCTGCTGATGATTCCAGTAATGAATCTGCAGAAGCATCTTCCAGTGATAATGGAGGTGATGACAAGTCTTTAGCTCTAGTTCCGGTACCAAGGCTAGAGGAACCCACGAGTTCAGTTTCCACATTAATTAGACAAGTGCCTGAATTAAAACCTGGTTGGCCACTGCTCTGTCGTGCAGCTTTACCGGATCAAAAAGAATCAAACATATCTTTGGTAAGGCAGGTCCGTGTGGTTCAGTGGGAGCAACTCTCATTATCCACTGTCAATTCCGATCATAAACAGAATGGTTCTGATAAGGGTGAAGATAAATTGAATTTAGATGGAGAAAGTGGTGCAATTGTTGCAGTTGGAATGGAGACAGCGACAGCTCCGCATACTCCTCACCAAAATTCAAGAAGTCCGCCAAAAGAATTGGAGGGTCTTCATGAGAAATACTCAGCAACTTGCAGATTGTTTCAGTACCAAGAACTTCTCTCAGCTACATCCAATTTCTTGGCTGGTCTGTTTCCCTGTACAAATAGAAATTCAAAGCAACTTCAGCTTCTTTTTCACCATCATGTGATTGATCCGATCTTTTTATTTTGTTTTTCAGAAAATTTGATTGGCAAAGGGGGCAGCAGTCAGGTTTATAAAGGTTGCCTTCCTGATGGCAAGGAACTTGCTGTGAAAATCTTAACGCCATCTGAAGATGTGTTGAAGGAGTTTGTTCTGGAAATTGAGATCATCACTACCTTACATCATAAGAACATCATTTCTCTCTTGGGGTTCTGTTTTGAGGACAAAAATCTTCTCTTAGTTTACGATTTCCTACCAAGAGGAAGTCTTGAAGACAACCTTTATGGTAATTGATTAAAAATTCTCTCTTGATCAAATAATAGTCAAACCCTTAATTAGTTTCTAAATAAACTGTTTAAATCTTTCCCGTGCTTGTTTATTTAGGTAATAAGAAGGACCCACTTACATTTGGTTGGAATGAAAGATATAAGGTGGCTTTAGGAGTCGCAGAGGCCTTGGATTATCTTCATAGCTGCAGTGCTCAACCTGTGATCCACAGAGATGTTAAATCATCCAATATACTATTATCTGATGATTTTGAGCCACAGGTGATCGATGCATTTTCAACTCTTCATCTTCTCCTACAATAGTTTACTCTCTGGGTTTGTAAGTTCTGAAGCTTTCCTGGTATTCTCAGCTCTCTGATTTTGGACTTGCTAAATGGGCACCGACCTCTTCGTCTCATATAATCTGCACTGATGTTGCTGGAACTTTTGGGTATGTTATTTCTATTGCCACACCATTGATGTTACTATGAAGTTTTGTCTTTCTTGTCTTTTCATTACAAAGAGTTAATATTATGATTTTGATTGTCTTGTGGATTTTAACGAAATAAATAATAATTTATTCCACTAGTTGGTTACTAAGAATAGATAATTGCTGCAGTTACTTGGCTCCTGAATACTTCATGTATGGCAAAGTTAACAAGAAGATTGATGTGTATGCATTTGGTGTTGTACTCCTTGAGCTTCTTTCAGGGAAAAAGCCAATAAGCAATGATCTTCCAAAAGGCCAAGAGAGCCTAGTTATGTGGGTATGTCCCTTGCTACTCGTTGAATTAACTCGGCACTGGATTTTTACATCTGGATTTTGTCTCTGAAAATCACATGCATTTGCTTGTCCAGGCAAAACCGATCCTAAACGGTGGAAAGGTTTCCCAATTGTTAGACTCAAGCTTGGGTGATAGCTATGATCTTGATCAGATAGAGAGGATGGTTTTAGCTGCCACTCTGTGTGTAAAACGTGCCCCCCGAGCTAGGCCTCAAATGAGCCTTGTAAGGCATTTTTGTATCCTCTTTGTTCATCATGATATGCCTCCTTATCTCTCACCACTCTCGATGCATTACCTCAATTACAGCATCATTAGCTCCGAAGTGTACTTGTTAAACATGAACATTTTACTTGTTGCATTTCCTGGTGTCTTAGTTCTTTTTTTTTGGTTCAATAAAGGTTGTGAAGCTCCTCCAAGGTGACGTGGAAGCGACCAAGTGGGCAAGGTTGCAAGTTAACGCTGCAAGATCCCAAGTCATACCAAAAAATTTATTATAAGCACATTTAAAAATATAAAATTTAAAAACTTGTCTAAGCAAGGAAAAAGATAGCTAAAAAAATCTTGAGCGAACCCGATAACGAACTAGGTCAACAAATAAAAATATATGAATTATGACATGAAATTGGGATGACCATATAATTAGAAAAGCAAAAACAAAATATCACCAAAAGATATATTAAAAAAATACTTTAGAAAAAGACATAAACCGGCATGGATTAATCCTTTTGATTCATTACTTGAGTCATGAAACTAGAATGACCTCCTTAAAGGTAAACCTAAAAAAGCAGAGATATAAGATTCTTAATCAAATAAATTTTAAGAGATAAAATTAAAAGAAAAAAATCAATAAAAACAATGCAATACAAAAAAATAGCAATTAAAATAATTAGGGTTAAATTTTACATAAAAATAAAATGAAATTAAATGTTTAAGGATGGAATTGTAAAAATAAAATAAAATTAAAAATTAAAAAATAGCAATTAAAAGAATTAGAACCACATTTGACATAAAAATCAAATGAAAATAATGCCTAGAGGTGGAATTGAAAAATAACAAATCAATCTAGAAAATGATTTAAAACAAAATAAATAGCAATTAAAAAAATAAGGATCAAATATGAAAACAAATAAAAAAAATCAAATGACTAGGGATGAAATAAAAAATAAAATCCAATTAGAAATAATTAATGTAAATAAAACAATTGAAAAAAAAAGAGAGAGAGAAGAGGGAATGAATCAAAAGAAAAAATAAAATGAAAGATTGATATGAATTTTTGAATGGTTAGCATGCAATTTGAGAAAGAAAAAAAGAAAAGAAAAAAAAAATTCAGACTAAATTACTATACATATGACACCTAAAGAAAAAAAAAAACATCGATATAAATCAAATAATATGATAGAACAACCAAAATCAACCACACGCACTACTAGAAGGCTATCGAGCAATTCACACTTGCAATACATGAATTAATAAATTTTTTTTTGTAATTTGTATAAAATCAAAAATACCTTTAAAACTCAACAATAACACTAAACAAATCATGTAAAGTTATAAGCAAACCCTTAAAGATAAGGCTAAAAGATTTGAATGGTAAGAATATTGCAGTAAGTATATTGTTCTATCTAATATAAAAGCACAGAAAGATTCTTATGGAAGGCACATATAATTATTTTATTGAAGGGTTGTATTAATAATTTTATTGTGTATTAAAAAATTCAATTACTAAAATAACCTTGTATATTTCTTAAAAGATATTTATATCATAATAAAATTACCACCTCATAATAAAATATTTATATTATTATAATGAATACACACACACATATATATATATATATGTATGTATGTATTCATTATAATAATATAAATATTTTATTATGAGGTGGTAATTTTATTATGATATAAATATCTTTTAAGAAATATATGAAATTATTTTAGTAATTGAATTTTTTAATACACAATAAAATTATTAATGCAACCCTTCGATAAAATAATTATATGTGCCTTCCAAAAGAATCTTTCTGTGCTTTTATATTAGATAGAACAATATACTTACCGCATTATTCTTACCATTCAAATCTTTTAGCCTTATCTTTAAGGGTTTGCTTATAATTTTACATGTTTGGTGTTATTGTTGAGTTTTAAAGGTATTTTTGATTTTGTACAAATTACAAAAAAATTTGTTAATGTATGTATCTCAAATGTTAATTGCTCGACAGCCTTCCACGGTGCGTATGATTGATTTTGGTTGTTTTACCATATTATTTGATTTATATTGATGTTTTTTTGTTTCCTTTAGGTGTTATATGTATAGTGGTTCAATTTGAAATTTTTTCTTTCTTTTCTTTTATTTTTTTTTCTTTCTTAAATTGCATGCTAACCATGCAAAAATTCATGCCAGTCCTTCATTTTATTTTTTCTTTTGATTCATTCCCTCTTCTCTCTCTCTTTTTTTTTCAATTGTTTTATTTACATTAATTATTTCTAGTTGGATTTTATTTTTGATTTCATCCCTAGTCATTTGATTTTTTTTATTTGTTTTCATATTTGATTCTCATTCTTTTAATTGTTATTTATTTTATTTTAAATCATTTTCTAGATTGATTTGTTATTTTTCAATTCCACCCCTAGGCATTATTTTCATTTGATTTTTATGTCAAATGTGGTTCTAATTCTTTTAATTGCTATTTTTTAATTTTTAATTTTATTTTATTTTTACAATTCCATCCTTAAACATTTAATTTCATTTGATTTTTATGTAAAATTTAGCCCTAATTATTTTAATTGCTATTTTTTTTGTATTGCATTGTTTTTTTATTGATTTTTTTCTTTTAATTTCATCTTTTAAAATTTATTTGATTAAGAATCTTATATCTTTGCTTTTTTAGGTTTATTTTTAACGAGGTCATTCTGGTTTCATGACTCGAGCAATGAATCAAAAGGATTAATCCATGCCGATCATGGCACTAAGCTAAAAGTGGAGTTCCAGTCACAGTCATGGCAGTCATGGGCTCACAACCAAGTCCAAAACATCACCTGTTCACTTGCCGTTTCCACCAGCACCATGTTTATGACACTAACACAACCAGAGACTTTGAAGGAATCCAGCGGGTGAGAAACGTTCGAAAGATTTTACCTATGAATAGACTGTCTGAGCTTGATCCCTGTCCCTGACGAAACTCGCCCTTGAAATCATCCCTGTTCTCCACCTTCCACTTCTACAAAGGCCTATCAATCGCACAACAAGATACAGAGCAGTACTGTATGAGCAAAATAATGAGCCTCCTTTTCTTCTTTTGCCCGAACAACTAGTAAAAGATGCATGGAGACTTTGATTATTGAAAAAAAAAACTAATTTGCGAACATGTAAAAGAATCAAGAGTAACAATTAATTAAGAGAATCGGAATCATCAAACTGCAAAGATGGGGTATGTATTGCATCCTAGTATCCAGCTATCAAATATTTAAAATTATAATAATATTGTGTTTTAAAGTATTTTTTTTAAAAAAAATATATCAAAATAATATTTTTTATTTTTTAAAAAATTATTTTTAAGATAAGGATATTAAAATATCAGAAAATATAGAAAAATAATTTTTAATAAATTTGTTTTTTGAATTTTAAGGAAACTTGGCATAAAAATCCAAGAGTAACAAAATTAACACAAAAACCAAATATGTGTGTGTGTGTGTGTGATATTAATTAACTAGGTCTAGAATTTAGTAAACTTGGTAGAACAGATATGCGAGCCCTGCTTTTCACTTTACCTCCACTTAAATATGCTGGTAAAGTTGCGTGCATCACTCGCGCTGGGGCACGAAGAATGTGAATACAATAATTAAAATAAATATTATTGATTATTTTTTAATTGATAAAAAAAAGAGATTAAAGAATTTAATAATTTAAGGCAATCAATAAATTATTTTAATCATCTAATTAAAAGAAATGATTAAAAATATTTTTTTATAATTTATTTTATTTTATTCAAACATAAATCAACTCATGAAAAAAAAATCTCAAGATCACGTGAATAATAAAATAATATCAAAAAAATAAAAAAATAAAATTAAAAATGTAAGATAACAAACCCAAATTGAGATTCTATATTAAGAAAAAAACATACAAATAAAAACAAGAAAAACTTAATACAAGTTGATAAGTTCTGCAAGTTTATAAGTTCTTGTATAATAATAGATAAGATTGTACAAAAACCCATCTATAAAAAAAAAAGAAAAAAAAAAGAGAATTCTTTTCAAAGAAAAACAGGGCCAAGTAACTATGATAAGAAAAAAAAATATCAATATAATGAAGAGTAAGTCAAAATAGAATAACAATTTAAAAAGCCAAATCTTAAAAATAATTATTTGGCTAAAAAATTATGGCAATAAGCTACAAGAGAAGAAAAATAGTTAATAAAAAATACAATTGTCGAGGAAAAATGGGTGAGACTACAATATCTCCGGCTATCCCATATTATAATAACAAACGACACCTTCACATCACATGCTAAAACTAACCAATTAAATTTTTGTTTGGTTTTTTAGTTTAATTATTGTTATAATTGTAATTTAATAGAAAAATATTTGATTAACAGGTGAGATTTTACACCACCAAAACTTTTTAATTTTTTAACTAAATATTTTATCAATGATTATATATTTAGTTTGTCAACATAAATTTTACAGATAAACTTATAAATGAAAACACGTCATCAAAACACTTATTATCCGTGATTTATGGCATGTCGGGGAGTTCACTTGTAACATAATTATCGATGATTTTATAATGAAAAGGCATATCAAGCAAAAAAAAATATACACTCAATTTAATTAGTATTTTCATATGTAAATATATAAATATGACATGTCACCAACAAAAATATTTTATGTAATTCCATCATTGTTTTTTTAACATGCCAGTAATTTAATTGATGAGTATGATATATTATTGACAAAACAACTATATGTTATTTTATCGATATTTTTTAATATTATTAACAAAATTAAATTGTCGGTGATTAAACAATAACAATAATATTTTTATAGTAATTATTTTTTAACTCTCTAAAATATATTGATGACTTAATTCATTAATAAGATTACTACTAATTGAATTACAAAATATATATTTTTAAAAAATCTATTAAACAAATTAGAAAACAATTAAATTAAATTAAAAATCAAATATTAATTACAAATTTAAAAATTTATAACTTCAAATGCAATTTATTTATAATAGAGGGGCTAGAGGATAAGAAGACGAATCTTTATGAGAACCACGAGGTTAATAAAGAGGAGCACATGTACTACCTATCTATGACTTCAGTTCTATATATAATTGATAGAGTTCGACCGTCTCAGCATTAAATCATTTTATCCGAGTAGCAAAATGAGTTGTCTAAGTGCTCATAATTGATTACAAGCATCCAACAATTAAAACACTTTGAATTCTCAGCAAGTTCTTGTTATGTTATTTGAAATATTGTATGTTTGATTTTTATCAGGTCTACTAGATAATATTATTTCTAACTAGAAATCTAGATCAAGTTTCAAATGGGTTAAAAAATTGTCTTTCTATCTTTCATATAATAACATGCTATATGTTTTCTATAAAATAGTTAGTAAATTAAAAAAAAAAGAAGAAAAGAAATAGTTAAAATCCAATATATTACATGGTACTAGGTTTTATTATTCACAATGTTGTATCCTTTTTTATGGTCAATACATGGTACTAGGTTTTATTATTCACAATCTGTTGTATCCTTTTTTTATGGTCATTTTTTTTGGCATGCATTTATAAAAAGCTTTCTAGATTGAGAAATATTGTATTTAAAAAAAATTATTTTTTCACTTTAATTTTCTTAGAAATTAAAATATTACTCTGATTTAAAGCTTTTCATTTGTCACATATTGTGGAGTTCATTTTGGCTTTATGGTTCTAAAACCAAATGCAATTTCTGATTTTTTCTTCGAAAGTACAAATAGAAACAGGAAATAAGCAACCACACGCGTAAACAGCCGGCTGAGAGCGTAACGAAGAGAGATCACCCTCTCGTTCTTTTCTTTCATACAGCATGGTCCAAACGCGGCCACACAGATACGTCAAAGATCAAAGAATAGCTGCCACCGCTATGGATCCTCGATCTTCCTATTTCCATCACACAAAGTACGCCAATCCTCCTTCTCCTACTCTTCCTCTTCCTCTTCCTCTTCCCCACCCTCAACCTTCTCTTTACCGTAACAACCTTAATATTCATGGCCATATTAACTTCCCTGCACCACCGCCGCCACATCCACAACAACTTCGTCCACCACAAACACCACAATTCTCCCCTCGGAACCCTCAATTCTCCTATAACCATAGCCCTAATCATCCCCAAATCCACGATAACTATCACCACCAGCTGTCGCGCCATGACCTCACTCACTTCACTCCATTGCCTAGGGTTTCTCATCAATTCAACGACGACCGTCAGCCGCCGCGTCGTTTACCCGAATCCGACCACCGTGTTCATGAACCCCGACCTGATTTTAGGGTTCTGCGTCATGATCGGCAAACTAGGCATGAATTGGAAGGTAATCCCAATCCTAATTCCAGACTTATTCAGGACCGTAATATCGTGATTGATCGTGAGAGCGAGCATTATCATATTCGTGGTGAATTTGGATCGAATTCTGATAGATCTTCTACTGGCGATTTTCGAACTGTATCGAATCAAGTGAGGGGTTTTGAGTCAAATTCGGGGAATTATGAGAATAGACGTCGTTTGAATTATGATTATCATGATAAGGGGAGTGAGAATCAGAGTTGGTTTCGTGACAGAGAGGTCGTGAGAGAACCGCGTGATGCATCGATTGAATTTGGTAGTAATGAGATTGATGATGGTGAAACTAGGATTGCTACTGGGAAACGTGAGCATTATAGGAGTAGAGAAGGGAATTTGGAGGTGGAAAGGTATGGTGGTAAAAGAAGTAGAGAGGGTAGTTATGAGTTCAATAGGACTCCTAGGAAGCAGGTACAGAAAAAGAGTGCTCTACTTAGGATTCAACAGCCTAGTTACAGGAATAGAGAGGATGAGAGATTGCCTTACTCAGGTTATGTTGATGATACCAAATCTAGTTCTTTTAGAGGTAAAGATCAGGAATCTGGTTTTTTTAGAGGTAAAGATAAAGATAAGGTTATACACCCAGATCGTGGGATGGGAGAGGGAGAAAGAGAGGGAAGCCCAGTAGAGCTTGATGTGTCTTTTAAGTCTAATTCATTGGTAGCCAAGGCAATTTTGACGCCTTCTTCATCTACAGTGGGTGCTTCTGAAACGATTTTGACACCTAGGAATAGTAAAGTTAGGAAAGTGCTGGTCCCTGCTAAGGATAAGGACAGTATTAATTCATCGATGAATAAACCCAGCAAGGTTGCAGTAGAAGTGGGCAAAGGTGCAAGTGTTGCAAGTAAAGCTTCCAGTTCTGACAAGGATCTAAAGAAGACCAGAGAGAGAGTTATAGCTTCTGGTATTACTAATGTGCGAGATAGTAGTTCACTGCCTCTAAAGAATAGAGTGGAGATGCCTATGAAGAGGACTGTGGCTGTTAGAATTGGAACGCCTGGTAAAATATCTTCACTCAGTGGAAAGAAGAAAAAAGTTGTCAAGAGAGTAGTGAAGAAAGTTGTAAGCCATAATTCAACTTTATCTAGTTCACATCCAACAAAAACTCGTGATGAACCTGTGAAAGGAGATAGCTTTGCCCATACTCCAGCTGAACCCCGTGACACTGACAAGGCTGCAACTGTGGCTGATGTTGATTCACAGCCTTGTCCAATTGAAGCTACAGTGATACCTGAGAATGACAGGGTGGATAGATTTGAAAAGTTTATGGAATCAGGGCAGGCTGGCGCCGGAGCAGATTCTGGCAATTTATTTGCATATAATACAAGTGGAAAGAAGAGCTGCTCACGTTCTCCCTTGGGCTCTTCAAATCACAACGAAACCAAATTTGGTGAGATTTTTGTAAATGGTGATTGTGCCAAAGCCTTGCATGCTATCCCAAATATTGACAACAGTTTAACAAAATCTCTGGATGAAATTATTAGCTCTAATATTGGTGGTGTTGAAGATGTCAGCAAACAGCCTTGTCAGAATGGAGATTCTTGCTTACTTGAGAACAGTGCAGTGAGGGGATCTCTCAAGGTTATGGATTCTATTGAGGGCAATACTGATTTTGGTTTATTAAGTTTAGAAAAAACGATAATTCATGAGGATCCTAAGTATTCATGTATCCCTGTGATGGGTTTAGATGTTGCTTCAATCAACTCACAACAGAGAATTACGGTTTCTGACAAGGGGAAATCTGATGTTGGTTGCAAGGAGCCCTGTAGAAATCAGGGTAGCTCATTAGCTGAGAGTGGCATCACTGATTTCATTCAGGGTGCTAGTTTCCCTGTAGGAAGCAATGAAATTTCTGCTGCATCCATTTCAGGGGAAACAGGAAGTCAGAATGCTGTCATACGCCTCAATCAGGGAGTGGGGACCATTTTGGGTTCACCAAACTGCTTTACTAACATAGAAGAAATTGATATCTCCGGCCATGGAACTAGTGATGGTATGGGTGAGAAGCTATCTCAAGATGGGGCTGCTAAAATAATGGAGAGTGAACCCATCAGAGGTTCTCTAGACACCAAGGTTTCTACAAGTGGCAGCGAGGAGGATGCAAATGACACTAAGAAGAACGATAAAAAAATTGAAATGCCTCAGTCAGATTTATCAAGGACAGATGTACCTGACATGCATTTGGAGCCTGCAAATATGGTCACCAGTACCACTGCACATTGGGTGGACACAACTTTGAGATTATGTTTTGAAGATGATGGTACAGCTCAGTGTACATTTTCTGGTGCTGAATTTGTGGATGCTGGCTCACAATCCTGTAGTAATGTAGTCAGTGTTCTTCATGAGGGCAGTTTAACAGATGTTTCAGCGGCTAAGGTTTCTATCAGGAGCAGTGCTGATGGTGGTCAAAGAGGGGTATCACAAAGGAATGAAAAGAATAGAAAGTCCTTTGCTCCTCAACTGGAATTGTGTTCTCCAGTAGAATCTGATGCTGATGAGGGACCTGTATTTGCAGGTAACTCTACATCGGGTATGGAAGTGCCATCCAATTCTGGTGATAGTCTAACACTGCCAAAAGGGGAAGTTGTAGTGTCTGATATGGATTCTCTGTGTACTTCTGATTTGCTATTGGCGCGGAAGGGGATCACTGCGATGCTTGAAAATGGTTCAGCAGGGGAGCATTTAAGCTCTGTGGCTTCTGTCAAAGATGCATTTGAAGTTGATGGTCTAAAAGATGTTCAATCTCATTTGGCTGTTGAGGAACTGGCAGTTAAAAAAGTGACATCACATAGTCTATTTGTATCGGTAGGCGAGGACAACATAAACACCACTCCAGTTATGGTTGGAGGTAGGAATCAAAATGATTCCATGGATATTGATGCTGTTGAGGGAGCCAAAGTGGACATTGATGCTGCAGAAGAGCAAGTCGGTATTGAGAGTGTGACTGATCATTGCCAAATCCCTTCAAAACTTCAGACCCAGTACTTGGATGGAAATATGCCCAGTATAGATGTGGATGATGGTGGGTTTCATGGTGCAAAGAATGATTCGCCTGGTATGTCAAACAATCCATCTTCATTTGGAGATGGCTGTGCAAAGAATGATTGGCCTGGTATGTCAAACAATCCATCTTCATTTGGAGATGGCTTTGGAGTTTCTTTTACCAATTCCGGTGATGAACTTATGGAGATTGTACCTGAGACACTGTCTGATAGGGGTTCTCCAGAAACTTTGCCTGATGTCATGGGCACATCCCTCAGCAAAAATTCAGTTGAAAAGATTCATGAGAATGATGATAAAATTCCAGCTGAGAGGCCTGTAATCAATGTTGGTTCTGACTCATCTATGAGTATTTCAAGTTCACGAAATGCTAAAGTTGTTTTAAATTTGGATCATGCAGTGGAACGTGATCAGTTGTTGACTGGGAATACAGGGCATTTGCCTTCACAGGATTCCAAAATTACAACTCAGATGCCAAATGCCAAGAGTGGGGATTTATATGGAAAGAAGAACCATAGTAGTAATCCTATTTCTAAGATTTATTCAGGTCGCTCATCTTTTGTTTTTACTGCTTCAAAGAGTTCAGCTTCTTCATCTCGCATATCAAAAACTCGAACATGGCATCGAAATGATAATTGCTCTGATTCTGCTCCGCCATCAAACAAGGCTTTCTCGAGCACTGTTCCTGTGCAAAGGCAATTTCCTAGAAAAGCCGATAAGTCCCAGCGCACCTCTTACATTCGCAAGGGTAACAGTCTTGTCAGAAAGCCTACTTCAGTTGCTCAATCCCCAGGTCCCCATGCTTTGAGTTCTTCTGTATATCAGCTCACCTCTTCTGGTACTGATGAACCAAAGAAGAGTGCTGGCTCTGACAGTAGAATTGATCTTGCTGATCCTCTCAATGTTTTGAGAACAGGAGGCCTGGATGCTTCTTTTGAGAAACCGAGAACACATTCACTATCTAGTGTCTCTAAAATATCAAATCAAGCAAGCAACTCTTTGGGGGTTCGTGCATCTTCACCATTAGCTGAGCATCTTCACTCTCTTTGTACTGAAACTGTAACGGTCCCAGCAAAATTGTTGGAAAGCAATGACATTCCAAAGTCTTCTGATGACTTGTTGAAAATTTCAGAATCTCCAATAACTCAAAATAGCCAAATTAGTAATTTGGAATGTCACAGTGATCCAAATGATGGGAATACCGTGGCTTTAGCAAATGTTAAGAGCCTAACATATGTTAAGCGAAAATCAAATCAGTTGGTTGCATCTTCAAATCCTTGCGCATCTTCTGTTCAAAATGCTCATAACACATCATCTGATAGCTATTACAAGAGGAGGAAAAATCAGCTAATTAGGACTTCACTGGAAAGTCAGATCAAGCAGACAGCCAGCATCCCTGATGAAAGTTTAAATTCAGAGGGACAAACTGCTCTTAACTCTTTCAGCAGAAATTTTAGTAAGAGACGACTGCGTAAAGGTGTGTTTGATCAACTTACTTCTCTCTCTCACTCACTGCATTTTTAATCTCCGTGAAGAGCAATCTAAATGAACTGGTTGATTATGAGGCTTATATATCTTATGACTTTTATAATATTGAGGCTGAAAGCACTTGCACAACAGGAAAATTTTAGGGGTTATATTATATTATAGCCATGCGAGGAGCCTTTTTTGAGAGAGTGGGGTAATGTAGTCCTGGTGCAGAGGTAAAGACATCTCTGGATTAGAGTAGTGAGATTCAATATTAGCAAGTGGGGAAAAAAACAGAATTTGGTTCCATATTTCAGGTTTGGAAGAGCACCTATAACACCTGACATGCTCTGTGCAAACTCTGCAGAGCAGCTTTCATTGACGATGCCTTCTTTTACTATTTACTTGTTGAAGTTCGAAATATATGTTTCTCACCTTGGGTTCTTTTTCGGATAAAAATCTCTCACCCTCATTCTATTCCACATTTGCTGTGTTTCTACTGAATGCGTACGCGCCTAAGCTATTTAATTATGCTAGAAGTTTAGTTACTCTGAGGTAGGCAAATTGAGAATGCTTTGGTATGAGCCCTCTTTTTTGACTGATTACATCTTGGCCCAATGAATTGGCTGGCAGGAAGTCTCTGGCTCCCGTAATTTATTAATTTTCTGAATCTAAATAAAGAGATAACTTTGGGATCAGCTTTATGTATGAGAACATGGAGTTCTGGCTATCACGCTGCTTGTATCATATATCTAACAATGAACTGGCAAAATTAATGGCATAATTTATTTATTGTGGACTGATTTTCATTAAGAAGATATGAATCCAGTTAGTGTGCATGCATCATACATAATCATGGATTCTTACCACTTTTTTGGATGTACTTACCTAATGTGTTCAAGTTAGTCCAAACATCATTGGAAAACTAGTTTTTGATAATTCCTTTTTCCTTAATTCTTTCTAAAACAAAATGCATCTGGGATGTAATCTTATACTAGAAATTGAATAGTTTGAAGATCCATGTGTTCTAATATCCTTTGTACATTATATGGAAATTAAAGTTCTAGCTAAACTTTTTGCTTGGCAAGGACATTCTCTGCATAACTTTTTTTGTACCCGTTTATAATGTCAGTTGTAGCAAATTTTTAAGTAATTTTTTCTATGTTAAGCTGTAGCCCACAGTGGATGAAGCCATAATATACTTCCTGGTATAATGTGGAAATATTGTTGGAATAGCTTTTCATCATTTTTTGGGCTCTAGCTAATCTTAATTGTTAAATGGCTTCTGCTTATGAATGGAAATATTTATTAAGCAATGACATTCTTTCCATATCTTGCATTCCAAATTTTAATTTCAGCTATAGCAGTTCTGTTCTCAGTCCCCCCAAACTTGGTGTGTTTCTGCAAGTTACGTATTGTGATCTTGGTCATGATTTACTTCCAATGAATTAGCTTCCAGATATTGTTGGAATAGCTTTTTTTATCATTTTATTTTGACAAATCAATAATCATTAGAAAATAAACTGAAGTTGGCCATCATTTGCAGTTGTGACAAAGACTTGTAAACCTTCTAAGTTGTCTTTAGTCTGGACACTGCATGGTGCACAGTTATCAAAGGATGATGGTGATTCGTCACGTTGTGGGAAGGTCTTGCCTCATTTGTTTCCCTGGAAAAGAGCAGCCTATAGGAGAAGTTCCTTTCCAAATTCATCTTCCATTTCTGATCATAGTTCCTTATCTACAATTGGGTACAATAACTGGTGGTGTTTTCCTCTAGGTTTCTGCTACTAATTTCACTGTCTTTTGTGACTTTCCACAAAAAAATAAAAAAACTTGACATTCTTTCTCAGCAGGAAATTGCTACTTTTGAGAAAGAGGAATACAGAGTACACGAGGTCAAAACATGGATTTTCACTTAGAAAATCCAAGGTATTAAGTGTTGGTGGGTCTAGTTTAAAATGGTCAAAATCCATTGAAAAGCACTCAAAGAAAGCCAATGAGGTCAGTTAGGCTGGATTGCAGGCAAACCTTTTGTTTTATTTTTCCTATTTAAACAGATTTGAAGTCTACCTATGTTCACTTACAATGTAAGAGTTCCATCATTCTTGATAATATTCCATTTTGCTTCTATACAGGAAGCTACCCTGGCTGTTGCTGCAGCAGAGAGAAAGAAAAGGGAACAGAGAGGTGCTGCACGCGTTGCTTGTCCACCAAAGAATAGAAACATTTCTCGTAAGTTTACTCAAAGTATGGAGCTGCGCTGAATATGCAGTCATTCTGGTCTGAAGATGTCTCCATAGTGCTTGCTTATAATCTGTTTGTATGGGATTTTAGTGTTCATTCATCCATATGGTTTTTTGAAATATGCTTTTAATGATTGTCTTGTAGAACTATAATATAATGGATTTGAAAATATACTTACATTTTTTTTGCAGGAGAACGCATTTTCCGTGTTGGTTCAGTACGCTACAAAATGGATTCTTCAAGGCGGACTCTTCAGAGGATATCAGGTGGTCCTTTATTGATCTTTTTGTTGTTCATTTTGTAGGTTATTTATTGTGTTGGGTGTTGATAGCTTGGGCCTATGCCACCGAATTGGTTTCTAATAAGTGAAGAAAAATGATTTGTAGATGATGAGTCATCGTGCACCGAAGCCCTTCAAAAAGAAAAGGATGCCAAGAAGCTGTATATTCCAAGGAGATTAATGATTGGGAAAGATGAGTATGTCTTTGGTTTTGTTGCTTTTGAATAATTAGTTTCTAGTTGAGAGCACGGTGGATTGTTAATTGCCAGATATTTTAGAAACCTATGATTTGTGTTTTGGTTACTGGGTTATAAAAGTGGCTGCTTACAAACAAATTTCAAAACTGGCAGATATGTTCGAATTGGCAATGGTAACCAGCTCATAAGAGATCCAAAGAAGCGAACTCGCATTTTGGCCAGTGAAAAAGTACGATGGAGTTTGCACACTGCAAGATCACGATTGGCCAGAAAGCGAAAGTACTGTCAATTTTTCACAAGATTTGGAAAATGCAACAAAGATGATGGGAAATGTCCCTTCATTCATGATTCCTCCAAAATTGCTGTCTGCACAAAGTTTTTGAATGGTTTATGTTTCAATCCCGACTGCAAATTGACTCATAAGGTTTCTAGTCAAAAGAACTTGACATCCCTGTTTCAAATGGCTGATTTGCCTTTGTTGACATTCCTTCTTGATTTTATTTCTTTTGCAGGTCATTCCTGAAAGGATGCCTGATTGTTCTTACTTTTTGCAAGGTGCTTTTCCCCCTTCTATTATGCTTTTGTATAATCTATTGGTGATAGTGCAGGATTCTGAGAATTTTTCTGGCAGGCCTTTGTACCAATAAAAACTGCCCTTATAGACATGTGCATGTCAACCCAAATGCTTCTACCTGCGAGGGATTTCTCAGGGGCTATTGTGCTGATGGGAATGAGGTATCCACATGTTCTTTGTATTCGAGTAACTTGTTTTTGATTGACTTTTGATGATTAAATATTGAATTTTCGTCAAAAGGAGAAAAATATGTGCTAGTTGCTCCAAAGATGATTTACATTGCCATATCCAGTATTTTACAGGGACAATATTACTTGTAGGATTGCCCGCCCACCAGACCTTCCTTTCCTTAAAACGGCTGGCTGACACAAGCTATCTCTGGCAATTGCTATAAGATTAGGCTTTGAGAGACTGTTTTGCCCCTGAAACAAGTTTTTAGAAATGCTTCATTTCATTCCTGATGATCTTTTCTTTTTAATCGTTAGATATATATATATATATAATTTTTTATTTTTTATTTTTTAATGCTTGATGACTCTCTTTCTCCGCCCACATACCTCGCAAACCTTAAGCATGTAAATGCAATATAAATCTGCTATGCAGTGTCCGAAGAAGCACAGCTATGTCTGCCCCTCCTTTGAAGCAATAGGATCCTGTCCTCAAGGATCCAAATGCAAGCTACACCATCCCAAAAACAGAACGAAGGAAAAGAAAAGCAAGCGATCACGAGAGAACAATGCACAAGGGCGATATTTTGGCTTGATGCACATCAATGCCACTAAGACGAGAAATGCAGTGCCTGGAAAGCTCTATGTGCAAGATAATGATACCATTGGTTTTAAAGGAATTGCTGATTATATCAGCCTTGATGTTAGTGATGAAGAAGTGGTAGAAAATAACAATCCAGGTGATCTGCATACAGCATTCGGTGATAGTGACCCCTTGAACTTGCAATTAGGTGATCTTGATAAGTTAATTAAACCAGTCCGTATAATGAACATCTAACGCCAAGATCTTTGGTAGCTCAATTTTTAAGCACCAAGCTTGTGCCACAGGAAGTCTGTTTGGTGTACAGGAGGCAAATCAGGTTTTATCACTCGGGTTTTCTGTCATTGCAAATGCCTTTTCGGTCAATAGAATAGCGTGGGAAAAGATGGAATGATTTTGATGAGCTTGCAACCTTCTTTGGTTGTGCATAGGGTATATGTTAGCTCTTTATTAGGAAATTGGAATAGGAACAGGAACAGGATTAGGAACAGGAACAGGAATACAGATGCCTTGTGTTTTCTCTTCTTTTCTTTCATTTATAGTCTTTTTATAGGAATACATATTGTGGCTTCCTTTGTGTACATGATACGTTGTAATAATTCATAAATGAAATGATGCCAAGTTTTCGTCCTTCCAACTTCTTTAATTTTGTGTTTCTCATGCTCTTTTGGCTCCCAATAAGACTACTGTTACCCCCCCTCTTTCTGGAGGATGAAAGCATTGTGCTCGGCCTTAGTTGTGCTTGAAAAATCGTGGCCTTTTCATAGGCATGGCTCCGAAGTTGAACTTGAATGAGTCGGAAGGTATCCCGTCAATTTTAATTTCTGGAATACTGATGAGAATCGAGAATCGATCCCGGTTCTTCTGGCAGAGCCAAGAGCGCTGTGCAAAAAAAGATAAGTGGTATCAAAGTTAGTTATTGAACGTCAGGCATTTTCAGCCCAGCAATATGAGATTATATTTAGCCTTTGCATTGCAGAAGGGAATGAGAAAATTCAGAGTCACAATTACTACAAATTTGGAGTTGCTAATCATTATTTAATATTGTCGTAAACTTAAATCATCTTTGTTTTTGTGCAGTCATGCCATGCGCTACCCTGGACGCATCCTTTGGTGCGTGTTCCTCACAAAACCAAGAAAGAAAAAAGGTCGAGGGTGGCAAGAATGATCAGCTCAAATGTTTTGAACGTTCAAAGTCCACCGTTGCAAATGGACAATACATCTTTTTAATTCATTAAAGTAGAAGCACAATTTAAAGAGCCCAAAAATATAATACATACAGAGAAGGAAATAGAAACCCTGCATTAAGCTCAAAGCTAAATGCCAGGCTATTCAGAAAGATAAGAGAGTGCCATAGCTCAATTCGTGGTAGCCCATCATTTTCTGCTTTTCTTCACCACACAGACCTTCGTACCGTCAATAAAATTAAGTCTTATCTTATCCAGAAAATAAATGGACTTCAATCTGCTGGCTTTTTTAAGAATTTCCCAAAATCTCAAGTACTGGAAAGTAAATCTCTAAAAAGCTAGCAAACAAAAAGTTTATAGAATTTGACTACCAGTGCCAAATGCTACAGCGCATTAGATTTTTAGCAATGGCAGCAACTTCCTCTTACATTGCTTGTTCAAAGTTCTCTATGCTGGGTTGGCTTGGAGGCAGAAGAGAGCTGAGAAGGAGACGTGTAATCTCTATTTCAGCTCAGCAGCAATCTGAAGTCCAAGGATCACAGGTAGTGGATGCACAAGAAGAAAAGGAGCTAGAACAGGAGAAAGTGAAGCAACCAACGCAACCAAGACCAGTGGAACCACAAGTGAACGTGAAGAGCAAGAACATGAGCAGGGAATATGGAGGGCAGTGGCTCAGCAGCGTCACACGGCACGTGAGGATCTATGCTGCCTACATTGACCCAGAAACTTGTGAGTTCGATCAAACTCAGATGGATAAGCTCACCCTTATCCTTGATCCTACAGATGAGTTCGTTTGGACAGAAGAGAGTTGCCATAAGGTTTACTCCTACTTCCAGGAGCTTGTGGATCACTACGAGGTGAGTCTGTCATAAAATCACGCATTTTTTAGTCGAGAGAACTTAAAATAACAAATTGCTGGAAGTTCTACTCCATCTTTTGTTTAGATTTGCAAACCCTCTTGTAAAGAAACACAGGTTGAAATTATTATCGGACATGATTTAATGTCATGACATTTTTTTATTCGTTTTTCATTGAAAAACAAGAGCACCTGAATTAATTAGTGGTCTTTATATCATATTAAATCCCCCATAAAAGTCCCGTATCAAACCTAAAACAAATGGAACTGCATCGGTAAATACATGCTTACCCTGATCTTTGCATTATGAGAAAGAGCTGGGGACAGGGAGATAGTCGGCTTTCTTTACCCCCTTACAAACACATCTTTAATCCAAAGAGGACGCCAAATCAAAGTGATAGATGTTGAGGCCTTTTGTGATATAACCACATCTTTCTTCATCCCAACCGCAACAAAAAATCCATTCCAGAAAACATCAACTTAAAGCTTTTTTTTTCGGCTGCAACTTTAGGACTGAAATCACCTTCTTTCCATCCAATCGGCACTGATACTGCTGAAGCATCCTCATACTGCATTTTAACCAACAACAGCTTTGATTTGAATAAAAGGATGCCAGGGAACCTAGAATTACCAAGCATCTGTATCAATCTTGAATGGAAGATGTGTTCTGTAAAGTTCTGTTTGGGTGATCAGTGGATCCCTGTTATGCATTACGAATACTAACGTGTTATGTGCAAACAGGGTGCCCCATTGACAGAATACACACTGCGACTGATTGGTTCGGATATAGAGCACTACATAAGGAAGCTGCTGTATGATGGAGAAATCAAATACAACATGAATGCAAGGGTCCTGAATTTCAGCATGGGGAAACCACGCATTCTATTTAACAATGATGGCCAGCTGGAAGATGTACAATCATAAGATACAGATAGGGTGTCCAGACAAAACATAGATGAATGCATCAAGTTGAGATGTGGAATGTTTAAATACAGTTTCATACTGACGGCTCATCTCCATGAGCCGCTAAAAGTTGCATGAGTATTTAGCATTCTATGCATTGGCACCTTCTACCTGGCATAGTTTCTGGAAGTACAACCTTCGCATCTACCAATCTTCTTCACATGCTAGATTATATTTCATGATCTAATTCAGTCACTCATAAGACATCTATCTCTTTCTTATGTTTTGGCCGCATTTTCAAACATGAAGAGTCCAGCCAAGGTCGAAGTGCTCGAGATCCAGCATGCGATGCATTCTGGACAAAAAAGTAACAACCATATGGATTAGAAAGTGCCATATTTGTGCTTGCAACAATTAAAACAATGTCAAACACGTTTAAGCACACAGAGCAAATTCAGGTCCATAAATTATTTTGTGTTAACTGGCAAATATGGAAAGTCGAGGTCACAACAGTCTACCTAAGGCTAAAACTAGCAATTTAATAGATATCAAACCAAAGACAGTTCTCTTCCTTGTTGAATTGAAAAGGAAGATGATTTCCAATTTTGTTCGTTCATTGATTAAATGCATTACTGAAACAGATTGATGTCAACACTAAAAAAGCTTTTGAAAAGAAAACACAATAGAAGTTTATACTCACCATCAACCAACAGAAAAAACCACGCATGAGATTCAAAATTTCTGGCCGGTTACCCTGAGCTGATCGGATCTTTGCTTCCAGATCTACAAGAACAAATAAAAAAAAATTACTAGTAAGTTATGAACAAAATTAATCAAAAATCATAAAAATGGTATATCTATCATGGCCACGCATAAATACTGAGAGAGGGAGAGTAACAAAGAGAGTAACAAGAGCTCAAAATTCAGATGGCATGCATCTGTAAACTGAAAAACAATGCTGATGATAAAATCACCTGCATGATGGTCAAGATAAGATTTTCCAATAGCTTTTGTTTCATATCTTATACACCCACTCCGCAAGTTTATATCACGGTTCACATGACTTCGGTGAGATATTCTTTGCCACAGGTCTTCGAACTCCCTTTCATCATAAGGCTTTTCAAGGATTTTCAAAAGTTCCTCTCTAAATTTACTGGAAACTCCGTTGTCCATCCAACCTTCATCCTTAATTTGCCAAAACATAAATCCAAAACAGACTTCAGCTGTCATAATTATGCTAACATAATTCATTTAAAAGCACAGAAACATGATAAATAAGAGAAAGAATTGGAGGAGGAAAGGATGAATTACCTCTACAATGTATGCTTTTGAACTCACAAATGGAGTATCATTTCCACCAAGAAATTGATCCTTGTCCATGACAATCACCTCAGAATCAGAGGAACCCTGTTCATCCTCTCCAAACAAAACTCCTTTTCCACTTTGAGGAGCGAATACTGCATATCTACCATCTTTTTTAAGTGAATTCAAAAAACTTCGGTAGCTATGATCCACCATATCCAGATTCATCTCACATTTGTTTTTGCAATTTGTGGAGCTAGGGGCTTGTGGACTAGGCTTTTTACTTGCATGCCCATCAGCTCCATGTGGGACTGCATTCGGGGACTGCTTTTCAAACTTCCTTTCAACTGCCGAATGTCCCCTTTCTTTGGCTGGAACATCCTTTATATTTTGTTGAGTTTCCATCCTACAATTCTCCATATCCAGATGCATGTGTTTGCGCTTGCAATTATTCATACCAATAGCTTGTTGACCAGGTCTTTTCCTTGCAATTACATTTTCTCTGCAAGAAACAAGATTCGAAGGTTCCTCTCTCACCTTACTTTCAACTGCTGAAATCTTTCTCTCTCTGGATGAAGCAGCCCTGGATTTTCTTTGATTCTCTGTTATATGATTCACCATTGTCATTTTCACCTTATGTTTTCGCTCGAAATTAGTCAAACTAAGAGCTTCTGGACTAGGCCTTTTACTTGCACCTTCATTTGTAAGATCCACAGTTTCCCCGTTCAAATTCCTTTCAACAGCTGAAACCTTTCTTTCTCGGCTTGGGACATCCCTCAATATTCTCTGGGTCATATCCAATTTCATTTCTTGTTTGCTCTTGCAATTAGTTGGACCAAGAGATTCTGAATTAGGCCTTTTGCCAGCATGTCCATCTGCTCTACAAGAAATAGGATTCATATATTTTGTTATCTTCTTGCTTTCAACCACTGAAATCTTCATTGCTCTTGCTGGAGCACCCCTCAATTTTCTCGAAGCTGCCGCTCTCTCTTTCCTCGTAACACTCCTCGTTTCCACTCTCTCAATTCTCGAATCATTCTTCAACAATTCCGTGGTTCCTTTGTTCTTTCTCTTTGGACAGTCCTTCTGAGTTTTTGGTTTCTCTATGTTACACCCATCATATGCGCCATCTTGTAAGTCATACCTAACAGTTATTGATATCTCATTAGTCAGTGGAATCTCAAGAATGCATGATTTCCCATCCTGTCTAAGATTATCCAAGAACATCTTATAGTCAGGATCCTCATTAGTGTCGGCACCATCACCTACAAAACCATCATCTTTATTATTACCATCATCTCCTTCATCTTCCCCTACAATGCCATTATTGAGATGCCCATCATAAATGATATCATTATCTCCAGCCCTAGCACCGTCTAGACCAACATCAACTGTCCCAACACTAGCAATACCATCAGGCAGAGTCATAGGAGCAGTATCATCATCAACAAAACTAGTATCCGCATTACCACCATCCAAAGCCCCATTAATACCAACATTATTCTCCACAAACCGATTAACAAGGCCAACAGCATTACCATTATCAGTTGACCTGACATTTCTCTTGGATGAAGACTTGATATCCACACAAGCATCACAGTCACTATCAACATACAGCCCTCCATCTAAGTCCTTTAAAAACTTCTTGTAATGTTCATCAACCTCATATTTATCATCATCGTCAAGTAGAATACAGCTGCTGCTGATGGGTGCATTCATTGGAGACACGGTATTTTTAATACCACTGTATCTTTCGTTATTTTTCTTGGATGAAGAAGATTTCGTGTCAAGAGGAGCATCGCTATCAATAAACGGCCCTCTAACTGAACCATCATGATACTTCATGTAATCTTCATCACCAACATCGCTGTCATGGCCATCCTTCTGAGCACAAAAAATTTCAGAGCTACTCTTCAGAGCTGTAATGCCTTTACAGCTGTTGCCTTTTCCATTAGAATTGACCTTGAATCGTCGAGTGCCAATATTCCTTCTCTTCAACCTCCGATCCAACCTCTCATCATCCATAAAAACAAACCCTTCACTTTGAACAACAACAGGAACTCCTTCCAACGTTTTTCTTTTGGTAGACCCCATCAATATCTCCCCCCAGAAAAGAGGTCTTACTTCATATAATTGAACTAATTAATCACCCCTGTTTTCAAATTAAAAAGACAGACAATAAAAAATAATCAGTTCACTGCTAAAAATAAAATAAAAATTTCAGCTTGTCTCAAAAAAGAAACAGAAAATAACAATCTGCAAAACGCACCCATTACAGGGATGAATGAAAAAAGGGTCTAGACTTTCTTTAGAAAAGGAAACCACAAAAAAATCTACATGCATGCAGATTTCTAGACAAAGAAACCCTATTCACAAACAGTAAAGAAACCCTCCTTTCCTCTCTCGTTTTCTCCTAAATAACAGAAAACCACCATAATTATAGAAGTGGGAGAAGATTTTCTTACCTGATCAGCAAAAACATTGATGCTTTGATGACATATTGTTGAAGAGAGCCAGAACAAGAAAAGAGAGATAGAAAAGGAAAACCTAAAGTTATATTTGGGAAGATTTTGAAGAGAGAGCTTTGAAGTAAATCAGAAATAGAGGACAGTTAGCGAATCGAACGGGGGAGAGAGAGAGAGGGGGGGCAGAGGGAGTGAGTGACTTGTGTTTGGAAATCAAAGTCTGACATGGTGAGCAAGTTGTTGCCTATTTATAGGATCCGGCTTGGTTTGTACGGTCAATCTAGAACCCTTTTTTTATATATATCGTTATGAGCTTTTCTTTGTTAAAAAATTGAAACGACGTAGTTTATAGCCTTTTATCTTTTTAAAAAAATTCAAAGCTCTGGTCAACCTGGAGTCCGCCAAGATCTCTGGGGTTTGGTGTGGTCAGCTTTAATTAAAATGTTTGAAAATGTGGGTTAATTTGTATTTTTAAAATTTTAATTTTTTTTAGTAAAAGTAATTTTTTAATATATTTTAAATCGTTTTGATGTTATAATTTAAAAAATAAATTTTAAAATATAAAAAAATTATTTTAATATAACAATAATTTAAAAAATAACTACAATTATATTTTCAAATAAATCCTAAATCATATATTTTAATTTTGAGTTGTTGTGAAATGAACAAATTTATTTTAAAATATAAAAAATTTATTTTAATATATTTTAATATAAAAATACTTTAAAAAACAATTATAATTATATTTTTAAATAGATCTCAAATCATGTATTTTAATTTTGAGTTGTTATAAGATGAATAAATTTAATTTGGTTTGAATGAAAAACCAAACTAAACTAAATTTTTTTTTTTTAATTATAAACTCAACTGAACTGATCAGATTTGGTTTTGATTTTTCCTTAAAAACCAGTTAAGCCAATGGGTTATTAAATTAGGTTTTTAAGGCGTTTTAATAATGGGCCTAAGCTTCTGTAGGCTTGTTTTGAGTTTTTTATAATGATACTGGGATGTTTAGGCCTGTTTCATGGATTTATTTTTTCGTTACGGGCCCCACTCCTGGGCTTCACTGTAACAGTAAATTAAAGTATAATCATCATACAGTACATTAATTGATCATGCCCTTTCCTTTTCTATCAATTGGATCCATATAAAAGTGCCCAAAGAGATGGCAAATAAAACAAAAGGCAAACTGCAGGAAGGTGGCAACATCACCACTGTAAAAATAATAATAATAATAATAATAATAAAAGACAACCAAGATAGAGGCAAGATATACATGGAACACAGGATGCTGACATGAGAACCACAGTTTACCAAGACAAGAAGCTCGGCAGAACACCAACTCCTTGCCATGAGAGGGAATATCGGTAGAAAACCCAAAGAGAGACCCGATGTAGATGGAGCCCATACCGGGGAAGCAACTACAATCGCCGCCGTGAAATTGACTACGAGAGGCAGATACCAACCCAACCACGAATAGATGCTAGAATAATGTAAGCGTTTTTATTAAAGTAGAAAAAACATGAGGTTTGTAGATTTGATAAACTTTATTAATTTAAATAATATAAATTAAAAATACAGTGATAACAAATTAATTAATAACATAAAAAAGTTTTAAAAATCCCTATCTAAACTTATTCACATTAATATATCAAATTTATAATTTGATTATAATACTAGGTAATTCTTTAAAAAACAAACAAAATAAAACTATAAATCTTAATTATTAAACAATACAGTATTAAAAAATAAAAATAAAAAATTAACGAAGAAAAATTTTGGTCAATTCAAAACATTAACCCTGTAATCATGGATATAAAATTCAGATAATTTTCTAGAAAAAAAATGAAAAAAATCATAAAGAATAATTATTAATAAATTAAATGTTGATATATAAAATAAAAAAATCAAAAATCAAAATCAACCCATGCTAATTTTCAAAACTCATGACCCTACTAACCCTATAAAAAACAACCCTTAAAAATAATAAAATAAAATTCTAAGTTAATAAAATATCAAGAGATAAAATATATATAAAAAAAAGCAACTAAAAAAAATCCAAAGAAAAAGAGAATTCAATAAGAAAAATAGAGATTAAATTTGATGTAAAAATAATTTAAAATCAAATATTAAAGAATAAAATTGAAAATAAAATTTGATTAGGAAAAAAGATAGAAAAAACAATTAAATGGATAAAAATTAAATTTGATATAAAAATTAAATGAAATTAAATGGTGATGAATGGAATTGAAGAGAAAAAATAATCAAAAAAGATAAAAATAAAAATAAAAGGTATGAAAATCAAATTAGATATAAAAAAATAAATAAAAGGATATCTTTATATTTTGATAAGGAAAAAGAAAAAAAAAAGAAGAAGAAGAGAATTTTTTTTTATCACAACTCAATCCCTGCCCTATTGTATGCACTTACCACATCATTACAAAAATCATGTTGGGTTGCTTATAATGCAACCATAAAGGGAGATGGAATGATGTCTTGCGCGATATTTAAAGTGTGCAAGAGTCTTTACTTGCTAAAACGTGCATTCTAAATATAAATTATTTTTATTTTTAAAATAATAATTATATTTATTAAAAGATCAAATCACTTCTTAGATAATCTAATAAATATTAAAAACTTATTTGGAAATACAAAAATCTCCTCAATGGAAGCTTAAGATTTTTTTTTTAAATAATAATATGCTTTTTAAATGTTAAAAAGACGAAGTTGTTTAGATGAACTAGTGTATCCTATATATGACTGTATTATCTAATTAACAAGTTCATTGATTTTTTGTTAAAATAATAATTATATTATTACGATGAATGATTTGTGTCCATGTGTAAAATGAATCCTTCATGTCAATTAATTTTTTTAATAAGTAATACAATAAAAGAAGACATGTTAAACATCAAAAGCATATTCCAACTTATAAACCAATCTAGACGGAAGCTGCAGCTTGAAGGTAAAAAAACACTCTTAGTTTATGTCGATGGTGTAGTTGATAAAATTCTACGAGTATGATAATTTACATATAAAATAATATAAGAACATTCCATCTAACATATTTGTTAAAATTAATTTATTTAAATTTAACATAGCTATCTGATCTAATTTATTTGAATTTAATTATTAGATCCAAAATATCTTTAAACTTAATTCATTTCAAATGTTTTTTTAATAATTTTTTAAAAACTTAATATCGATCTCACTATTAGTTATTAAACTCGCTTGAAAAACTTTAACTTGAATTTTGATCTAAACTTAAGGATTTTTAATGAAACATTAACATGGTAAAACCTATTTTTTTATTATTTTTTTCAGAAGAAAACCATGCTTTTTTAGCCAAAATAATTTACTTAAAACAGATTTGTGTTTTTTGAGTCCGCTGCCGAGTGGACAACCATGCTCGAGAGCGAGAAGGGGAAAAGATTATTGAATTGAGAATATTCTTTGTGGATAGCTGAGCCGGAGCATATGCCTCATTCCCTTCGAGGGGTCGTTCACGGAATCAAGCTACATATGTATGGACTACAAGTGGCTCGTGATTGAAGAGAGGGAAGTGACAATTACCCGAACAACTGAAAACAGCGACACCACTTTATGACAGCTCACCAAAATAACTACTTTTCCTAGAAAGCTAATCATGTTCTTAAACGTACATGAAAAGCATAAGCGCGAGTGCTTGAAGGATCTTACATTAAAAAGCCAAAGATGAGTCTTTTTGGATTAGCATGATCTGTGATGTGACTAGTCTCTATTAATTTCTTAATTGTTTTTTAAAATATTTTTTTTATTGAAAAATATTTTTTTTTAATTTTTGATATTAATATATTAAAGTAATAAAAAACATTAAAAATTATTAATTTAAAATTAAAAAAATCTAAGACTTCAAGGGACTAGATTGTGAAAAAAATATTTAACCTTGCCAAATTGGGGGTGCTCTAGAAAACAGTAGGGACTGGATTGTGAACTGAATAATAACTGGGGGTCTGATTTATAACCATCCCATTAAATAAATAATTAATTATATATGTTTCTTAACTCTCTCTCTCTCTCTCTGTCTGCCTGCCTGCCCGTCTGATACATATTGGCAAGTGGTATTTGGTTTCTATTCACGTAACTCCAACTCAACCTCCCTCAAATATCAATCACCGTGTCATCGATTCCTCCTCCTCCTCCTCCTTATTAATCCGCAAGACAAAACAAACAGACTCTTCTTCAGCATGGAAGCATCTGTAGCGACGGAATCTCTCTCGAAGCTTAATATCAATGGCGATTTTGCTTCCTCTCTTCCCAATCTCCACAAAAACCTTCACCTCCTCTCCCCTCAACAGGTACATGCCTGTTTTTTTTATATACCACACATGCGTGTATTGTGTGAACATCATCTTGCATTTCATTTTGATTGTAATTGGTGGTGGTGACATGGCAGGTTGAGTTGGCGAAGATGTTAGTGGAGAAAGGACAGTCTCATTTGTTTGAGCATTGGCCAGAGCCCGGTGTTGATGATGACGAGAAGAAAGCGTTTTTTGATCAGGTTTTTTTCATTTTCATTTGGAATTCAGCTGAGATTTTCTTCCTTAGGTGGATCTATTGACAGGAAATTGCGAATTGTTTAAGTGTTTGCGATGTGGATTTGGATTTAGAATTAAATTATAATTTTAATATTTTTTGGCGAGTTAAATTAGAAATTACAATGGCACTGTGAAAGAACGATGTTGAATTTGGTATAATTGGATCTGAGAAGAAATCTAGTTTCCGTGTAAGCAAAAATTGAATGTCAGATCTTTTGTTGAGAAGAAATTAATGTGGACATCCTTTTGAATGTGGATTTGTTACTCTTTGCTGCCGTTTTTATGCATGTTTATTGTCTATTAATGTAAACAATGAGTTTGAGTTTTCAGTTCTGACTTCTACGAGCAATTTGACTGTGCAGTAACGTTCAGATCATGTGGTTGCAGGTGGCTCGGCTCAATTCTAGCTATCCTGGAGGCTTGGCATCATATATTAAGACTGCTAGAGAACTTTTAGCAGATTCTAGAGCAGGAAAGAACCCTTTTGATGGCTTTACACCTTCAGTAAGTTAATAGATATTTCACTTTTTCAATGGCTGACCTACTCATTTGTGCTCCATAAATTTCGTTTAGGTTTCAAATTTATTTAAATTTCAATGCATTGGTTCATGTTGAATTTCGTTTTAGTAATTCATCAATTGGTTAATTTATGAAAATTTTGAAATACTTGGAGCACACTAGCAATTCCATGCATCATCAATAAGTTAATCCCAAAAGGGGGAACAGAAAGAGAAAATTCTATACATCTGTTGCACATAAGTGATGGCCTTTTGGATGTGCCTCTTTAGCAAAATATAAACAAGTAGAACTTTTGTTGATATGAAAGCAAAAACGCTGCAGGTTCCTACCGGTGAAAATCTGAGTTATGGCGATGAAAACTTTATCAAATTTGAAGAGGCAGGTGTAAAAGAAGCCCAGAATGCTGCATTTGTTCTTGTTGCTGGCGGGCTTGGTGAGCGTCTTGGATATAATGGAATAAAGGTGAACAATGATACTGCTAACATATTTACTTTATGTTGATCTGGATTAGTTGAAAAATCTTTGAATTTCTTTTTCCCGTTTCAGGTGGCTCTTCCATTTGAGACCATAACAGGAACATGCTTCTTACAGTGCTATATTGAATCTGTTCTGGCTCTTCAGGAAGCTAGCTATAGAATGACACAGGGTTTGTCACCGAAAGCCTATTACCTTGCCATGTTTGAGTATCTTTAGTCAAAGCTAGCTACTTTCAACCTTCCTTCTTCAAAAAGTAAAAGATGATGGTTATCATGTTAAATAGTTCTAGCATTTCCAAGTAAACTCTGCTTTTGTAAATTATAGGTGGACAGAAAAAAGAGGTTCCTTTTGTTATCATGACATCAGATGATACACATGCACGCATAGTGGAGCTTTTAGAATCAAATTCGTATTTTGGAATGAAACCTACTCAAGTAAAACTTCTCAAGCAGGTAACATATTAGTCGTTGATGCCTAATTGGAGAGCTAGTTCAAAATACAAAATATGCATATGAATATGTTATTTTATTACTTATTTTAGGAAAAAGTTGCATGCTTAGAGGATAATGATGCCAGACTTGCTTTGGATCCGCAAAACAAATTTCGAGTTCAGGTAGCTATTATGTAAATGCCCAAAACTTGAGGCTGTTATATAATGCTTGTGATCATTTTGTGTTCTCTTAACCTTTTTTCTTTTTACTGTAGACAAAACCCCATGGGCATGGTGATGTTCACTCACTTCTCTACTCAAGTGGCCTTCTTTATGAATGGTGTGCCTCAATGGTTATTTAGTTTCTTTTCTTCTTCTCTCTCTCTCTCTCTCTCTATTATATATATATATATATGTATATGTATATGTGTGTGTGTGTGTGTATATATATATGTGAGTGTGCGTGTGTGTGTGTGTGTGTGTGTGTGTGTGTGTGTGTGTGTGTGTGTATACATGTGAGTGTGTGTGTGTTTAATGTGTGGCCATAAGAACTTGCATGTTATTTGATCATGCCCCTTTCAGAAAGTCTGTTGAAATCCTTGGAATAATTATGCTGCTAAATAAAAATAAGACCCTGGAATATCCTCTCATCTTTTTGAAGGATGTTTGTGTTAAGAGTATATATTCTGGTTTTGCATGACAATCTTTGGTTAACGAGGAGGATTTCTTAAGCTCTGTTGATTATTCGTTTTGTTTTCTAATTTTCGAAGCAGTACAAATTGAAGTCTTTTGATCCTACACATGGAATGACTGGTGACCCCTGATGCCTTAGTAGAATTTCAGGCCTTACTGATTAGTAAAGTAAAATAAGAGTATAAAGGCATCATCAGGCATATAATTATGCATGCACATATAGGAATAGACATAGTCACCATGTTACATGACTTGCTTGCATATGAGTTTTTGTTTAGCAGTTTGTAGGTCCCGAGTCTTCTGATCTTAGTTGTGTTTCCATCACCTTTTTAGGCATGATGCTGGTTTGAGATGGGTTCTATTTTTCCAAGATACAAATGGACTTCTATTCAAGGTTTGGTTACTTCAACGCCTTATGGTTTTGTCTATGCAAACACATTTTATTTCACAGTTATATTTGGATGAAAACTCCAAATTTTATGTTTCTACATGATTGTGTGTAGGCAATTCCAGCTTCAATTGGTGTCAGTGCCACTAAGGGATACCATGTTAACTCTCTTGCTGTCCCTCGCAAAGCTAAAGAAGCTATAGGAGGCATCACCAAGCTTACTCATATTGATGGTATGCAATATCATTCTTCCAAACATTCATGGAATACACATGCTTTATCTTTTTAAAAAAAAAATTAAAGGATACATGTACTTTAGCGTTCATTCTTCTTTGCAAGTCAGATATATATGTGCTTAGCCTCTCTTTTTTCCAAGTCATTCTATACTCAATGGGCTCTCTTCCTTTATTCGGGGGGGTGGGTGGTGGGGGGTTGGGGGATTTGCTTTGGACTGATATGTGATCTATGCTGCCGAGCAAAGGTTGTGCTTGTATTTTTTCGGACTCCAAGCAAATACCCTTTCAAACATTTTTATTGTTAACCCATTTGATATAAATTCTATATAATGACTGATATATCTTATGATTTTGTGTAAGTTCTTAATGTCCAAGTGAAATTGATTTTCCAGGAAGGTCCATGGTGATTAATGTGGAATACAATCAACTTGATCCTCTGCTTAGAGCAACTGGGTTTCCTGATGGAGATGTCAATTGCGAGACAGGCTATTCTCCTTTCCCAGGAAATATAAACCAAGTAAATTTCTTACAGAATTCCATCGAACAACTTGTGCTCGTTAATTTTCTTGAATTGCGATTGCTGCTTATTTGATATTATCTTTACTTGATGTATAATAATGCAATTCCAGATTAAAAAAAGGTCAGTTTTTTTCTGTTTTTGATATGGGTTTCTTTATATTGGCTTTATTAGTAGCAGCTTAAAGTGTACTGTGATGAGAACAGTTGTCATGTACTTGCATGTGGTTCCATTGTTTCATATCACTCTCTCCTGCCAACCATCCTCTAGCCTTTTGTTTCAGACACGCATAATCTTTGGAAGCGCAAATGTTTAAATGTGCATTGTCTCCACATCTTGGGCCACAATGTTCATGGAATGAAATTGCTGAGATGAACCAAAAATGTAGAAAAATGATCCTGCAGAAAGCAGACATGTTTTGTACTTGTTCATGATCCTAAAAGATTTAACAGCAATATAAAAATGTCTTTTCCTTTTAGAAATATACACTCTTTTTGGTATAACATATATGAGATATCATTGGAATTGGTGTAGCTTGCCATCACTTTTTTGGTGATTATATTTTATATTCTGATGTCCATTGAATATTTCATGCTTATGCTTGCTTTCCTCATCGTAAATCCTTTCACAGTTGATTCTGGAACTTGATCCTTATATTGAGGAGCTCAAAAAAACAGGAGGTGCAATAAAGGAGTTTGTTAACCCAAAGTAATTCTTCCTACTTGTATCTGCCAGGCTTTTTTTTTTTTTTTTAGTTCTGAAACATGATGCTACTGCATAAAAAGGCATTTCTGAATTCTATATCAGCCCATTGTTTTATAAATTCTTTCTGCAGATACAAAGATACCAGCAAAACTTCATTTAAATCTTCAACTAGACTGGAATGCATGATGCAAGATTATCCAAAAACACTGCCTCCATCAGCAAGAGTTGGATTTACGGTAACCATTTTTACCTTTGTAAGAGCATGGATTTTCAGCTACCTTATTGAGAGTCCTGCCCTTGGACTTGAGCCCTTGAGTCTGTTGTTGAACTCAGTCTTTTATGTATTCTCAATTGAACATTTTTTCCACCATTTGGCAATAACATTGATAATTAAGGTATTGCCATCTTTGTAATGCTTGTTAAACTAGTTCTTATGTGTTTGCTTAGGTGATGGATACATGGCTTGCTTATGCACCTGTGAAGAACAACCCCGAGGATGCTGCCAAGGTAAAAAAAATTGTTGGTCGTTGTTAATTGTTTCAGTTGTCAATTTTGTGCCATTTAAAATAGGCCAATGAAGTTGCAATAGTGCTAAAGAAAACTTACTGCGGGCCTTCAGACTATGGAGTCAATTTCTGGGGATTGCATATACCACTTGTTAACTGTATATATCTGTAGACAACTTTTAGCTGCCCAGTTTGGTTGGTGGGATTAAGTTTGTGTGAATTTTGCTGTTTGACTGCTTCGGAAGTGATGCTCAAAGGCTGAACTCAGAGTCTTGATCATTACTTTTCTGATTTGTGATCTTTTTACCTGATACCTCACCCTACTCACACACCTATTCCAACTTGACTTCAAGCCTGAAGGTAAATTCTTGAGTGGTTCTGTACTTTACTTAATTTGCTGTTGATTGCCTTGATTGGTACAGCAGACATATACACGTATGCATGCAATGTTTGAGATGCCTTAAGTTAGTTACTTGATTGATCCTGTTATCCTGCTTGGCTTACATGCTGGAGCCAAATATAGATACTCCTCTCCGATCCTGCTATCTTCTATCATTGCAATTCCTCTATTAAAACATGCAGAGCGATTATGAAGCAAGTGGTTTGTTATTTTAGAGATTAGATCACAGAGAGGTAGTAACTTAGCTTGGCTATTTGAAACAATGTCGTTCTTTATGGAAGAAAAAGGCCAGTTGTTGTCTGGTCGAGAGAGCAATGTCCAGAAGCATGTGAAAGAGTAGAAAGCATCCCTTGAAGTAAATAATCAGTTGTAGAAGTTGACTGCTCAAGGCTTCTATTATTATTTGAGAAAGTAGTTTTCAGATTATCTTTAATTCCAATTTCAAGGTTCTTATGCTTTTTTGTGCTCATCTCTGTATGACGTAGCGTGAAAAGCTTTCTGATTGGGGAATTCAGGTCCTGAACTGCATTTATTACTTTTTTTTCCCCATTAAAACTAATGAAGGTACCAAAGGGGAATCCGTATCACAGTGCAACTTCTGGAGAAATGGCCATTTATCGTGCAAACAGCCTCATACTTAGAAAGGTTCCTTTTTTGTGAGCCTTTTTCTTATAATTTGTGATTTTTTTAATGCTTAACTTTTCTCTCTCATTCTCCCTTAATATGTGTTTACTAGGTTGGTGTCCAAGTGGATAATCCAGTTAAGGAGGTCTTCAATGGACAAGAGGTGGAAGTATGGCCTCGCATTGTATGGAAGCCAACATGGGGATTGACATTTGCAGATATCAGAAGTAAAGTTAGCGGAAGTTGCTCCATCACTCAAAGATCTACCATGGCTATTAAGGGTCGGAATATCTTTGTCAAAGATCTCTCCTTGGATGGGGCACTTGTGATTGACTCTATTGATGAAGCAGAGGTATGTTTGGAAAATGAACTCATGTGTGGTCTCCTCTACTTTTCTAACATGAATATTTTGACAGGTTAAAGCTGGAGGTTCGGTGCAGAACAAGGGCTGGCTCCTGGAAAAAGTTGACTACAAAGATACTTCAGTACCTGAGGCAATTCGAATCAGGGGCTTCAGATTCAGAAAGATTGAGCAGCTGGAAAAGCAATTCAGTGAGCCTGGAAAGTTCGAATTGAAGGCTTGAAGAAGGCGAACTTGATACAGGGACCAATTTCTTTCAAGTTATTTCTCTGATACTCAAAAACCATCACTTAACCCATGAATAAGTTTGGGCCGGAAATAGTTTTGAATGGATATGACGAGGTGATGTGATGTGAACTGCCAAGATTTTGTTGATTTCGTGTTCTTTTTGTTTAAATAAAAAAATTTGTTGTCTCTCTTATTCTTTTTCTAATTCTGGGGAAAGGAATAATAGATTATGCTGAATGTTCTCCTACATCGATGCTCTCTCATCTTTTAACCAAGAGGTTTAATCCTTCGTTTCGTGACTTCCGACATCCACAAGCATTGGAGCCAATATATTGGACTGCTAAAACCAAGCTCGACTGTGTTGTTACGAACATGAAACATTCATGTGAACCTTGCCTTTCTCTGGACAAGGAGAGCTCTTGATCACCCACATGCTGATTCAGGTGATCTAGAGTGAGTTTGAAATGTTTAATCAAAGGTACAAGAAGACCTGACCAAATCGAGATCCATGAAATAATAATAATCGAGTTGTGGATTCGGAGTTTGTCTTAGGTTGTTCCGAGCCACACCTTTCGCAATCTTGCGCTTCCATGAACCAAAAATGCATTCGCAGGGGTTTGTTGTTTCAAGTTTACTCGTGACACGGACCTAAAAGGGACAAAGGAAGGAACAGAGCCTCTTTGTCCCTCAAAACGTCGTGATTCTAGCTGAATAAACCTATCGGCGTATATAGAAAGTCCCTTTGTTAGGATTCAACGCTGCGGAAACAAAAAAGTATTGCTCCCTTTGTTAGGATTCAACGCTGCGGAAAGGTTGCAAATGATTCGTCGTGTATCTTGCCGATTACAATCGTGTCTTTTTCCGGGAGAAGATGGCAAAAACAGAGCTGAAACAAAAAAGTATTGCGCATGCTTATCTGTTATTCTATGCTTGTCAGGATGCCGGAACCTGTCCTTGTAGGCCGTCAACACATTGAATAAATGGCAGAAAACTCTACATCGATGCCCTGCTTAAAATTCATTCAGTGTTAATACGGTAAGCTAGCAAAAATGAAAAAGAAGTGATTTCTGGTCATTGTTATTACGTGTAAAACTAAGGAACAGAAAGTGATTTCTGGTCATTGTTATTACGTGTAAAACTAAGTAACAGAAGTAATTTCATGAATAATCAAACTACATAGATGTTCTACTTATACAAGGCCACACGTAGGATCCTTGATTTGGCACCGCTTGTTATTGGTCCAACTTTCCTGTGTACCAATATGTGAAATATCCAAGTCCTTCAAAAATCAGATTTCGATGCCGACAAATGTAGATTATTATTTTTTTTATGTAAAAATTATATATGGACCACATTTAACCATACGTTCGGAGGTCAAACTGTAGAAGGTGGAATTCAACTATATAAGCGAAAATTCTGAAAAATTAAATGCACAAAACCAAAGAAACTTGAGGCTTTTCGGCTATCATGGCTTCTAGGCCCTAGCAAGTTCCTTGCAAGCTTCCTTATTTCATCAGAAAAAAATACTATCGGATTTTCATTCTTGTGCCTTTTCCCTATAATAAAAAAAATCCACGGAGCATCTATAAATATACCATCGCCCACCTTAATGCTAGGTCAACAATACGTGCAAGCTAGTATGTTCACAAATTAAATCTCTCATTATTTGTGCTGTTCGGTGATTCCAGAGCTAGCTAGGTGTACCATGTGTCCCCTTAAAACAAATGATCTGCACCGGATTTTCCATGAACTTGACAAAAATGGTGATGGTCTTTTGAGTACAGTGGAGCTCAATTGGCTTCTCGAGAGCATCGGAGTCCATTTTAGCCTAGAGGAGCTTGAGTCTTCGGTGGGGAAGTCATGCCTCAGCTTTGACGAGTTCTCGTTATTTTACGACTCCATAACAAAGCAGAGCGATGATGCCAGCAACGAAGCTGGGCTAGCAGACGATGAGGAAGGCCGCAACAAGGAGGAATGTGACCTTTTTGAGGCATTTAAGGTGTTTGATTCTAATGGAGACGGATTCATTTCTTGCGAGGAGCTTCAAAGTTTGTTATCAAAACTTGGATTGTGGGATGAGAAGACTGGTAAGGATTGTAGAAGTATGATTTGCCGGTATGATACGAACCTGGATGGGGTTGTTGATTTTGAAGAATTCAAGAAAATGATGCTGCTTACCAGTTTGTAATTATTCATTTTTGGGCCACTCTAGGACTCTAGAGGGTTGGAGTTTTGCCTTCGGTTTGAATTTGTGAGGACTGTGGTGATCAGCCTCTTAGACGACCTCACTGGGAGTCGACCTTGGCAGCCAGCTTTTCATACTATGTTTTCGTTTCATGTTTGTTGTATTATGTCACAGATATGTCTGTACAGCGGAATTTCTCACCGAGTACTATGATCGGAACTGATTTCCAGTTGCCACTCTAGCTACTGCTGCCCATATTATCCTTTAAGCTGTTTCTGTCTTTGATAACTTTGGTCTACGCAATCAGTATAGCACCTATTTCCATTTGAATCCTGAAGGTTCTCATAAGTAACTCAATTCAATCTTCTAATTCGACCCTTTATTTGAATCAGTTAGCAGTACGAATTAACAAAAGGACACAGTATTCATACATGAGATATAGGATCTTGAATCCAGAACATATATAAATCTTTATTCATAAGGAATTCACTTGATGGTTAAGAAAAATTGTCTTCTTTTCTAACTTTCTGGTTTGAATTTCATAGACATATGGGGAAATTCATTACATTTTAAAGATGCAAGAAATCAATGAAGAAGATGCGTCATCAGAATCATTCAGAAAAGATGCTGAATCTTGATTGATATTCTAATGGATGCGAAAACCCTCTTTATCTTTAAACTAGAAAAAGATTTAAAGATGCATGCACGAACATCCTGCGGGTTTCTTTCCCAGGATGTTCGTACGACCAATACAGTTTATGAAGAAGCTGTTGATCTCATGTTTTGTGACATAAATTTACTAGCTTAATGGGAGTTTCTCAGAAAACACCCATGAAATAGACTACCGTGCACCTGCAAGTGTCAAATGTCCTTTCGTTGCATTATTAATTAAAAAAATCTCTAACCGTCAAAATTCCAATCGTGGCCAACGGACACATGAAACAGCAATGAAGTTTACTGCAATATATGTATACGTAGCCCGCACACATTCATTCAATTACGATGGGCTAATACATGCAAGGCAAATTGGCTCACCCCCCTGACTGCTCTGTAAAATCCTGAGCTCAGGTTATGACTCTCTGAGGTTTCATGGAAGCTCACTTTGCTTTCGTCAATGAAGGAGTATATATTCTAACTCGTATTTTTGGCCGTATGTGCTCTCTTCACAGTATTCCACGGAAAATGGTATATCATATCAACAGTAAAACGTCAGCAGCGAGAAGGACTTCTTAAGCAATGGAAATACTGACCAAGATGCGTAGAAATCGATATGCAACTGGGAATGTTTTGCAATATAATTGTCCCTTGTGAAGCAAATTATTCTCTTATTTTGCAATCAAAGTTGTCTTTGAACTATCCATTTGTACGGTCAAGGACAATGCTGTGTTCAGGGAAATTTCCATTGCTGTGTTATTAGATTGGGAGGAAAATTCAAAGTCAACTTGATTTATTAGTTGCTTTCCGGCTTTAGTTTGAAAAGAAACGAGTTATTTTATATCTATAATTTTACCGTCATCATTAGCTTGTCTCACATCAGTCATCATAAAACATGGTAATGGGCAGAGATAAATTAAGCTCACGAGTCTTCCTCCATCTCGAACAATTGCCATTTGTGCTGTACATGGTCACAGTCACGGTCACTCTGGCAGTGCATTATTTTGAGATCTCAATAATTTCTTATTGGACAATCACCAAACCAGGCCTCAGCTAGTTTAGACTAATTCATTTATCACAATCGGTCGAGTCAGATACTACTTCAGGCGACCCGGGAAAAGCAGTCGGAAGTGGTTCTGCTTTTTATGCAAATTGCCCACCACTTTCTTTTTCTATTTTTGAGTATTTTTTGCTTATTAACACCATTTTAAAAAAATATTGGCCACATAACATAAGTCAATTAAAAAAATATTGGCCACATAACATAAGTAAAAAAAAAGCTTTAATGAAGTAGCGTAATTTGAAACATGTTGCAATTGAAAAATATCATATTCTAAGATGTTTTTAATAAAAAGCTTGGCATTTCAAACATATAACACGAATTACAACTAAAAAAAATAACAAAAAAATAAATTAAAAACATATTAAAACTCTAATTATGATATCATTAGTACCATTCAAAAAATCTTAATGAGATAAATCCTATAATACAGAGAAAGGTCATCAATAATGATAGGATTGAGTCTCTCTCTTTGTCCAAAGATAAATAAATTTTTATTATTATTGGATTTATTTCATTGAGATATTTTTGTTGATACTTATACTGTTGTAATCAGTTATGAATGCCTTAAAGATCTTTTTATTTTTTTCTTAAATCTTTTCTCTTTTATCTTCTTGGATTTATTTCATTGAGATATTTTTGTTAATACTTATACTATTGTGTTCGGTTATGAATGCCTCAAAGATTTTTTTATTTTTTTTTAAATCTTTTCTCTTTTATCTTTTTAATGTAATTTGTGCCAATTTATTTAATAATTTCTTTAAAATATTGTATTTTCTATGAGCAATATCTTAAAATATCGGGTTTTTTAATCGCAATATATACCAAATTGTGTTGATGTTTTTTCTAAAAAATATTGTTTCTGTTTTTTTTATTTTATGTTTTATTATGACTTTAAAATATAAAAATAGTGATAAAACAAAGAGAGGAAATTGATTCCTACCAAATAAAACAAAATGGTGGAGTAGAGGATTAATTAACTTGCTACCTTGTCATGAATCCTACACGTGGCAAATCATAACTAAAAAATAGGGATTATTTTTTAAAAATGACATGCTTTGTTTAGAATTTTAAAAAAATAACACATGTTGAAAAAATATTTAAAAAATAACATGATTTGAACACAACTGCAATTCTTATTATCATATTTGTTTATAATCATGATTCATGATTATAATTACAATTAATATGAAAATCCTATTTCAGCTCATTATCTCCGGTTCATTAAAGAAAAAAAACACTACTAAAACAACCTTTAATCATAGAAAATAACCTTCAATTCTCCACCAAAACATTAAAATCATCTCCCCCCCCCCCTCATCTCCACATATCTTTCCA